CCTCTAGTTCTCCCCCTACCCCTGACATCTCCATCTCACTCTCATGTGATGGTGCCATCTCCTGGCTTTGGACTCACCCACATGCTGGAGACATTTTAAACTTGACCTGCCCAAAGCCAACCGCTCAAGCCTGTGAGCCCCTCACAGTCTCCCCATCCTGGGAAATGGATGTGGAGTCTCCCTAACTCATCACTCACAGCTCAGATCCAAGCTGGGACCAAATACTGCTGCCTCCACCTCAGCTCCCACTGGGAACCCTGCCACCACTCCCTCCTCCACCGGCCCTCCCTGGGCTGCTGCCCCAGACTTGTCTCCAGGGGCCCTGCCACGACACACTGAGAAGTCCTGGTAAAGCTCAGCTCTGACCCCGCCTCTGCACAGCTCAGAGTGGACGCCGAGGTCCTTGCACGTCCTGTACATTGACCCTCGCCTGGCTCAGCTATGCCGGCCTCTTGCTCTTCTGCAGACCTGCTCCAGGGCCTTTGTACTTGCTTTTCTCACCCAGATATCTGCATGTCTCATTCTCTCCATCCTCTCATTGTCACTCACATGTCACCTTAGCAAGGCCCCAGCCACTCTACTTAAGAAGGCTGACATCCTCGGCTCCCTCTGTACCTTTTTCTGCCTTATTTTCTCCACAGTACTTCTGTGTGACCTGCTTGGTATTCCACTCATCTTGTCTCCTCTACCAAGACAGAAGCTCCACAAGGGCAGGAATTTCTGTCTGTTCACTCTGAATCCCCAGAGCATCTCAGTACCTGCCACATCGTCAGCATTCAGGTATTTGTTAAACCAATCAATGAAGCCAGGAATAAAGGCCCGCTTGCCTCGGGGAGACATGAAAAACAAAAGCCCTGTTGATGGTACCACAAAGGCCCACAAAAGAAACAGTTACCATCAGGCTGGGCAAGCGTAGCAGGGTCCCCAGGAACAAGGCTGACTGCACTCCTATACGCTCCTGACCCCTGGAGTGATTTAAAACAAAACACCATTTATAACAGCATCAAAAGACATACTACTGAGGGGCCAGAGTCCCCACAGAACCAGCCTCTAGGGAGGAAGTTATAAACCCTGATGGAAAAGTTTGTCTGGTCTTGTCCCTGGTTTGGGGAGGGAGACTCTAACTCCTGGGAGTGTCCTGAGGGGTGGGGACTTCGTTATTTACAGTATAGTGAGCACCTGAGTTTATGCTAATGTAGTGACTCAGAGCTGTCACCAGGGAGCCCCACCTGTGATCAGAGGGTGGAATGGCTGGGGGGCGCTGGAGTTCATGCTGTGGATGACACAGTGACACCCCAACCCAACTGGAATACTGAGGCTCAGTGAGCTTCCTGATGTGCCAGCACGGTGGGAGCCTGCATTCCATGGAGTGAGGGCATGGCTTGGCCACCCAGACCCTCCCCACCTCGCCCTGTGGGTCTCTTCACTTGGCTGGTCCCAGTTTGTATCCTTTATAATAAAACTGTAAAATCGGACTTCCCTGGTGGTGCAGTGGTTGAGAGTCCGCCTGCCAATGCAGGGGACACGGGTTCGTGCCCCAGTCCGGGAAGATCCCACATGCCGCGGAGCGGCTGGGCCCGTGAGCCATGGCCGCTGAGCCTGCGCGTCCGGAGCCTGTGCTCCGCAACGGGAGAGGCCACAACAGTGAGAGGCCCGCGTACTGCAAAAAAAAAACAAAAAAAAACCTGTAAAATCATAAGTGTTGAGCTTCCCTGAATTCTGAATCAACCTAGTGAGTTACTGAATCTGAGAGGTCATGAGAACCTCTGAACTTGTAGCCAGCTGGTTAGAAGTGCAGGTGGCCAGGGACCCCCAAGCTTCTGGCTGGAGTCTGAGGTGAGGGCGGTCTTGATGGGGGACCGTGCCCTTGCCCTGTGCTTGTGCTAATGCTGTGGCTGATAGCAGAGTTGCCCTGCACACACAGCATCAGAGACCCAAGTGGATGGATGGATAAGCAGCGTGTCATAATTGGAAACTCCCCACGTCACAAAAAAGTCACTTCTTCCCAATCTAACAAGTCAACATTATTCCAATCCAAATCCCAGACATAAATACCCTAATCTTTATACATAAGAGCAAAGGGCCAAGACTCTCCTGATGAGGTTGGGCAGCATTCCTGGAATTGAAGGTCCTAAAGCTGTTGTAACAGGGAATGTGGGGCCAGCGTCAGGACAGACAGACATACCAGTGGGATGGAGAGCCACAAAACAGGTCTGGACCCCTGGATGCTGGCTCACCACAGCTAGCAGTGCAGAGGGGGTGGGATATCAGGTGTCCGTCTCCCAGACACCAGCATAAACAGCTCAGTCACAAGAATCACAAACCTGAGTGTGAAAAGCAAAACAAAAAACTACTGGATGAAATTATAGGAAGGCATCAGAGGTGGGAAAGAGTTATTACACAGGACACAAAAGCATTTATCATGAAGGAAAAAATATACATTTGACTACGTTAAGAATTTCTTCAACAAGACACCAGTGTGAAGCCACAACAAACTAGCAGGAAACTGCAAACACACAGAACCAAAGAAATCATAAAATATGCAACATGAAACAAAGAACTCCTAACTGATCAGTAAGAAACAAAAACCTGGTAGAAAACCCAGGAGAAACCTAAGAGGCAGCCCCCAGGTGAGGAAATCCAAGTGGCCAATAAGCGTGTGGAAAGCAGTCAACCTCCCCCCCACCCCCGAACCAGGTAAACACCCGTGAAACCTCCACAAAGTGCCATCCACACCCACAGATCAGCGAAAACAAAGGTGTCTGACAGTGGGTGTGGCAGGCGTCTGCAAGCACAGTGGGAGATGCTCTCCAAGAATGAAATCCCACTTGCCCAGCGCAGCAGCCGGAGCCTGGATGAGAGCGCTTCAGAGCCCATGTCGCAGACACACGACACAGGGCACCAGACATAGCTCTGAGAACTCGCCCCATAGCCCGGCAGCAGCGTCATCACCAAGGGTAAAACATGCAAAGTGGGGCTTCCCTAGTGGCGCAGTGGTTGAGAGTCCGCCTGCCGATGCAGGGGACACGGGTTCTTGCCCTGGTCCAGGAAGATCCCACGTGCCGCGGAGCGGCTGGGCCCGTGAGCCATGGCCGCTGAGCCTGCGCGTCTGGAGCCTGTGGTCTGCAACGGGAGAGACCACAACAGTGAGAGGCCCACGTACTGCCAAAAAAAAAAAACATGCAAAGCGAAATGCCCACTCTTGAAAGCTCTGGGCTCTTGGAGGACAAGGAGTGACTTCCTTGTCCTGTGGCCTCGGAAGCAGGGTGGTGGGGTGCGTTTTTCTTTACGTTTCTTTAGATGAGGGATGCAGGACTAGGGTGGACACCAGTGGGAAAGGGGGCTTTTGGCAGCTGGTTCCAAGGAGAAGCACTCACCCCTAGTGCAGGTGCTATGCTGCTGGTGGAAACTAGCGAGGAGCTCAGTGTCCCTGGGGAGGGGCTGCCAACAACATGAGCCACCTGGGGGGATGGGCACAGCACCCACAGGTCCACAGTGACCCTCGGGCATCGCAGACCGAGGCCTCAGCATGTCCTGAGACGCCTGCACCTGCACGTCCAGTCGCTGGTACAAAGCCACGAAACAAAGCACCAGGTGGACCCGTGCAGACCCCACTCCATGACACCCTGGGGGTGGGGGCTGCTGCTCACAGGGAGCTTTGGTTCCACCTAGAACATCATCGTCTTTGGAGAAGCCCACACAGGCAGCTGCGGAGTGACACGGGCCCATGCTTGGCCAGGACAGGGACCTGAGGAATCCAGGGGGGCGGCGACAACCACGCTGCATCATGACCCATCTGTATGAGGCGTACAGGGGGGTGACATCAACAGCAGCAGCAGCGGGCCTCAGCTGGACAGGAAGTGTTCAGTGAGCATCACCACATCAGGTGAGACCCAAAGACTTGAGCACCCGGCTCAGCAAGCAGAGCCTCACAGACCCTGGGTCTGTTCTCATCACAGACCAAGGCAATATGGAGAATCTCCAGATCCAGAAATGAGTTGGTTGGGAGGGCTCCCCGCAGCCCTTCCTGCCCCCACCGTTCCCCAGTCTCATCCTGTCCTCCTCGCGCCTCGGGGCCCTGGATGCCCCCGTGACCCTCTGGGCCCACCCTCCCCATCCCCCCAGCTCGGACCTCCCGCCGGCTCTGCCTGAGATGTGAGGCGGGGTAACCAGGACCAGCCTGAGACTGCAGGAGAGGAGCCAGTTCCCAGGATGGCCAACCAAGAGCAGAAGGAACAGCTACAGAGCAGGGACACCACATCACAATCTCAACAGCAGGCTCCCTGCACACTGCCACCAGGAGGAAGGACTCGGGGCCTCTCCCTGCCAGGGGCCCAAGAGGCCCGCCCCCAAGCAGGGGCGGCGCAGTGCCAGCAGTGGTGCTGACGCCACATAGGCGCCCAGGGCATCCTCACCGCACACAGATCCCTCCCGTCAGCTCCTCTGCCCACACGAGGCACAGTGCCCCACACTGGTTCCTAGGAACATCCCCAGAACTGGCCAGCCTTTACAGGGACGAGTATGCAGAGCTTGGAGCTCCTCGGGTACCACATGCCACAGCCTCCCAGCCTGTACTCTCCCTGCCCAAGCCCCCAGACCCAGCCCCACACTGGAGGCAGCTCTTCAGCATCAACCCAGCCCAGGTAGGTGCTCTGGGCCTGCCCGGCCCTGGAATTCCACTGCACATCAACACAGACACGAGAACATGATGATGTCATCAAACATTAGAGAATGACTTCCTCTAGAGGTAGCTGGGGGAGGGGGTAGGAGAGGGAGGGGACGATGCCAGGTAAGGGGAGTGTGCCCCTCCCAGGGGCCTTCTTCTGGTAAGCACGGACTTTGAACCAGGGCGTGCCGGCCTCACCGGGGGCAGGGCGGGTACGACTCTTACTGGGGCATCATATGGGGGCTCACACGGCAACTATGGGGGCCCCATGGAAAGGCTGGAGACAACACAGTCTGCAAGCAGAGCTTCCGGGAATAAACACTTTCTAAACTTCTTCTCTTATAAATATGTATTAGAACATTTGATAACACAAGCAAAATGCTCTGAAATTAATTTAAAATTAAACTGTGACTGAATTTCCTGCACTCCTAGCCAGAAATTCACCTAACACATCTGAATACCCAAATGTGGTTGAAGGTGGCCGCAGCTGCAGCAGCAGCCTTGGACACCCAGGCCCCGCAGCCACCTCAGTCCCGCGGCACCTTGAACTGGTCCTTCTCTTTGCGGATGGCCCTCATGGTGGTCACAGGGTCCGTCTCACCTGCATGCTGCTGCACAGTCTTCTCCCTGCGGAAGCCAAGCACCAGGCTGCAGGCCGCACCCTGCACCCGCGGACCCACCACCCCTCCCATGGCACCAGGGAAGAAAAGAGCCTGTAGGAGGCGGGACGTTCTTAAAAATGAAGTGTGACAGCCAACGGCCAACTCAGGTGTTTCTAACTGTGGGAAACATGCTGGCCGAGCCAGTCCTGCTGGTGACCTGGAAAGCGGGGACACCAACTCCACGCTGGCATCCGGCACTGCCCAGCGCCTAGAGGCTCCCCAAGCACAAGTCTCGTCCACCTATGGATCCAGACTCCAGGGTCAGAAAGGACCCTACACCCTAGCCAGGGCGTCAAGAAAAGCGTCCCCCTTTAAGAAGAGATGTCTCATTCTTTGGCAACACTTTAAACAGAGATTTCAGGGCAGCCTCCTCTCCCACCCGGGCTCTTCAGGAGTCGGGGTGGTGGAGGCGGAGATGCCCGAGGACAGCGTGGGACCCGCTCCCTCACCTCACTCTCATGAATGGGTTGTAGGTGAACTCCTCTGCAATGGTGGATGGCACTGTGGGCTCCCCGATGCTGTACTTCTCCTGCAAGAAAAGTGGGTCCCTTTAATGCGGAAACTTCTAAAGCTGACACTTCAAAAAGCCTCCTAATGGTCTTCCAATGTCGTCCGACTGAGAAGATAAAGTGAGCAGTGGGTCAGTACCAGGACAGGCCTTTCCCTGCCTGCGGAGAAGAGATGTGAGTGCTCCAGCTGCCACCAACAACCTCTCTCCTTCCCTTGCTGTCTTGGAGGTGCAGGGGCACAAGGAGCTTTCTTTTCATTAATACAGAAGTCATAACTAGCAAAAATGCAGAAGACAGAAAAGAAGAAAACATAGCCCTACCCCCAAGACAGCATGTGGGTCATGAGCACCTCACTGCCAGGAAGAACAGCAAGGCAACAGGTTCCCGGGGTCCCTCCCCTGCGGTGACAGCCCCCCAGAGGGCAGCTCTCATCACAGGGTGTTCAGGCAGCTTGTCACCTCCACTCAGGACCAGGATGGCCTTGCTTCTAATCAACACTGACCAGGGCAGGCGGAGAGAAGACGCATACTGGGACATCTGGCCAACTGTTCACTCCTATAGAAATGCCTACAGGAAGGAGGTCAGAGTTAACAGCTGGGGGTTTCCACCCTGCCCACAGCCCCTGCCCTGCTACTGCTGGGCTCACCCTGAGGGCCACAGGGCCAGTGATTGGACAGCCACTGTCAGCACCCACACCCAGGCTTCCTGACCATCAGGGGCCCTCAGACCCAAAGGTCCCAATCCCACCCACACTGTGAGCAGTGGCATCGAGAAGTAATCCTTTAACCGCTGGAGGTGGGTCAAGTTGGAGTCTGGTGGGAGGTCAAGATGAAGGCTTAGGGACTTCCCTGGTGGTGCAGTGGTTAAGAATCCGCCTGCCAGTGCAGGGGACACAGATTTGAGCCCTGGTCCGGGAAGATCCCACATGCGGAATAACTAAGCCCGTGCGCCACAGCTACTGAGCCTGCGCACCACAATTACTGAAGCCCATGTGCCTAGAGCCCATGCTCCATAACAAGAGAAGCCACCAAAATGAGAAGCCTGCGCACCACAATGAAGAGTAGTCCCCGCTCACCGCAGGTAGAGAAAGCCCGTGCAGCAACGAAGACCCAACACAGCCCAAAAATTATTTTTTTAAAAAAAAGATGAAAGCTTATTGCTAATCTCTGAACTTTCCCTTCTGGTGAAATCAAGCATAGATTGTTTTATAATATTCCCTGCACTTCCTCCGATATTCTCACTCCTCCTAAGAAATCTTCCTCCACCTTTTATGAAGGAAGAAAACCACTGAATTATTCTAAGGATAATTTTAAAACAGGTCCTTGTAGGCATAGTTGGGGGAGTGTAAACTGTCATAACCTTTTGGATTATCTATTAAGATAAGCGTTAACATGCAGAGACTTTTCCTACAGAAGTATGAAGCACACAAATGTAAAGACTTACATTTGAGGATGTTGTTCACTGTAGCACAATTTATAAGAGCAAAAATGTTGGAAAGTCTAACTGTTCTCCCTAATTGTATTGGTAAAATGATTTACGGTTGACATCCACACATTAGTATGTTTTACTTATTAAAAAGAATGAAAGTAAGATGGATAAATAGGCAGTGATAAAATTAGTAAAATGTTACTAGAAAGGTGTTAGGTATATGACTTCACTATGAAATTCTTTCATCTTTTCTGTATGTGTGAAAATTTTCATAATAAAAAGTTGAAAAGGCTAAAAAACAGTTTAACACAGTTCAGTATAACCTAGGTGTCAAAGAAGAAATCACAAGGGATATATTAAAATATTTCAAATTGAAGATAATGAAAATAAAACATGTCAAAATTTGTGCTGCTAAAAGCAGTACTTGGGGGTAAGTTTTTAGCTTTAAGTGCTTATATTAGAAAAGAAAAAAGATCTAAAATCAATGACTGGGACTTCCCTGGTGGCACAGTGGTTAAGAATCTGCCTGCCAATGCAGGGGGACATGGGTTTGAGCCCTGGTCTGGGAAAATCCCACATGCCATGGAGCAACTAAGCTAATAATTATAAAAATAATTATTTTTATTAAAAAATAAAATCAATGACCTTGGGTTCCATACTAAGAATCTATAGGGCTTCCCTGGTGGCGCAGTGGTCGAGAGTCTGCCTGCCAATGCAGGAGACATGGGTTTGTGCCCCAGTCCGGGAAGATCCCACATGCCGCGGAGCGGCTAGGCCTGTGAGCCATGGCCGCTGAGCCTGCGCATCCGGAGCCTGTGCTCTGCAACGGGAGAGGCCACAACAGTGAGAGGCCCGCGTACCGCCAAAAAAAAAAAAAAAAAAAAGGAAGAACAAAGCAAATCCAAAGTAAGTAGAAGGAAAGAGTTTTTTAAACTTTATCTTTTTAAGAACAGAAATCAGTGCAATGGAAAAACAAGGAAAATTAAGGCAAAAGTTATGCTTTTAAAAGATCAACAAAATTGATAAGAACAATGAAAAAAATTGGCAACATCAGAAATGAAAGAGGGGCAATTACTACAGATCCAACAAATATTGGCGGTGGGCAGCAGGGGGGTTGGCGGTTTAAGTCATATTGATCTAACAGTAAAAGCTAAAACTATAAAGGTTCCAAAAGAAAACACAGGAGGTTTCTTTGACCTTGGCAAAAGCAAAGATTTCTTAGATGGGAGATAAAAAGTATGAACCACAAAAGAAAATTAATATGCTGGACTTCATCAGAATTTAAAATGTTTGCTCTTCAAAAGACACTGTTGAGAAAACAAAAGGCAAGTCACAGAATGGGAGAAACTATTCACAATACACATATCTGAAAAAGGACTTGTACCTATACTTAAAAAAAAAAAAAAAAAAAAAAAAAAACCCAAAAAAAAACCATTATTCAATAATAAGAAGACAATCCAGTTTTTTAAATAGGCAAAAAATCTGAACACTTCACAAAATGGCCAACAGGCACATGGAAAGATGTTCAACATTATTAGGCACTAGGGAACTGCAAATTAAAACCATAATGAAACACTACTACACACCCATTAAAATGACTAAAATTAAAAAGACAGACAATACCAAGTGTTGTTGAGGATGTGGAACACCTGGAACTCGCATACTTTGCTGGTGGGAATGTAAAACAATACATTCGCTCTTTAGAAAACAGCCTGGCAGTTTCTTTACAAGTTTCAACTTGGGACTTCCCTGGTGGTCCAGTGGTAAAGAATCCGTCCTGCAATGCAGGGTATGTGGGTTTGATCCCTGGTCAGGGAACTAAGGACCCACATGCCATGGGACAACTAAGCCCGTGCGCCACAACTACTGAGCCCGTGCACCTCAACTAGAGAGCCCCACATGCCGCGAACTACAGAGCCCATGTGCTCTGAAGCCCATGTGCCACAACTACAGAGAGAAAACCCCCATGCCACCAGAGAGAAGCCCGCGCACTGCAATGAAAGATCCCATGTGCCGCAACTAAAGACCCAATGCAGCCAAAAATTAAAAATGAAATAAATTTTAAAAAAGACTGAACAAGTTTCGACTTAATACATACACCTAATACAACCCCGCCATTCCACTCCTAGATATTTACTCAAGAGTAATTAAAACATATGTCACACAAAGACTTGTACACAAACGTTCATAGCAGCTTTATTCACAATGGCCAATAACTAGAAACACAAATGTCTATTGACAGGTGAATGGATAAACAAAATGTGGTATAACCAAACAAAGGAATGCTACCTGGCAGTGAAAAGGAATGAACTGATACATGTAGCAACATGAATGAATCTCAAAATCATTCTGCTGAGTAAAAAAAGATGAAAGAGTACATACTGTATAGTTCCATTTATATGAAGTTCTAGAAAATGTGAACTAAGTTCTAATGGCATACTGGAGCAGGGCAGAGAAAATGAGGCATGAGGAAGTTCTGGGGGGTGATGGAAATGTTATGTATCTTAAATATAGTGGGAGTTGTTTAATTGGTATATACGTCTGTCAAAATTCACTCAATTGTTCACTTCAAATGGATGCAATTTATTACATGTGAACTAAACCTCAACAAGCTTGATAATAAAAAGGGAAACTATGAAAACTATGCCAGTAAATTTGAAAACCTTGATGAAATGGACAAATTCCTTGAAGATACTAGTTGCTAACAAAACTGACTCAAGAAAATATAAAAATCTAACAGCCCCACACAAATTAAAGACATTAATTCATATGTCTTTATGAATTATGTCTCATAATTCATAACAAAAAAATCTTTCCACAAAAAAGAATTCAACGTCCAGAATGCTATGTCAGTGAATTCTAACAAACACTAAAGGAAGAAATAATAACAATCATAGAAAAACTCTTTCAGAAAATAGGAGGAAGCACTTCTAACTCATTTTATGAGGCCAGCATTACCCTGATATTAGACAAAGACATTACAAGAAAATAAAACTACAGACCAATATCCCTTATGAACACAGACACAAAAATAGACACCATGACTAAGGTTTATCCAGAAAGCAAGGTTGGTTTAACATTTGAAACCAAGTGATATACTTCACCAGATTAAAAGAGTAAGGGAGAAAAATAATGTATGATTACATAATAGATGAAGAAAAATCATTTGACAAAATTCAACACCCCACTCATGACAAAAACTCTCAGAAAACCAGGAATATATGTGAACTTCAACAACTTGATAAAGAAGACTTACAAAAAACTCACAGCTAATATCATACTTAATGGTGAAAGACTAAATGCTTTCCCCCTAAGACTGGGAACAAGCCAAAGGTGTCCACTCTCACCATGTCTACTTAACACTGTCCTGACGATCTTAGCCAGTGCAACAAGGCAAGAAAAATAATTAAAAGGCATATAGACCGGAAAGGAAGAAATAAAACTTTTTTTTTTTTTTTTTTTTTTTGCGGTATGCAGGCCTCTCACTGTTGTGGCCTCTCCCGTTGCGGAGCACAGGCTCCAGACACACAGGCTCAGCGGCCATGGCTCACGGGCCCAGCCGCTCCACGGCATGTGGGATCTTCCCGGACTGGGGCACAAACCCGTGTCCCCTGCATCGGCAGGCGGACTCTCAACCACTGCGCCACCAGGAAAGCCCGAAATAAAACTATCTTAATATTGATGGCATGATTGTGTGCTAAGGAATCTATGAAAAAGATGCTAGACTAAAATGAGTTAAGCAAGGTCACAAGGAAACAAGGTCAAAATACAAAAATCAATTGTATTTCTGAAGACTATCAATAATCATTTAGAATAAAATCTAAAACCATGAAGTCTTTAGGGATGCATTTAACAATATGTGCAAGATCTTTAACACCAAAAATTACAAAACACTGCTGAGAAAAACTAAAGACCTTAATAAATGTAAGGCTATATCATATTTATGGAAAGACGCCATATTGTTAGGATCTCAAGTCTCTCCAAATCTTTTGTTACAACACAATCAAAAGCCAAGCTGACTTTTTGTAGAAATTAACAGGATGATCCTAAAATTTACATGAAAATGTAAAGGACTTAGACGAGCCAAAATGAATTTCAAAAAGGAATAAAGTTAGAGGATTTATACTACCTGATTCTTAGACTTACCATAAGCTACAGTGATCATGACAGTACTACTGATGCAAGAATAAGTCATGTAGATCAATGGAACAGAATAGAGTCCAGAAGTAGATTCATGCCCACATGGTCCATTTTATTCAGTAAAGATGCCAATGAAGAAAGGCAAGTCTTTTCATCTAATGGTGCTGAGCAACTAGATGTCAATATGCAAAAAAGAACTTCTACCCTTACCTTACACCACAAACATTAACTTGAAGTGGATCACTGACCTAAACATAAATTTATATAAACATAAAAGCTAAGACTATACAACTGCTAGGAGAAAACAGAGAACAAAGTCTTTGTGATGTAGGGTTATGCAAAGATTTCTTAGGACACAAAAACCATAAAAGAAAAAATTAATAAACTAAACTTTACCAAAAGTATAAACTTTTATTCTTTGAAAGACACTGTTAAGAAAATGGCAAGGCAAGCCACAAACTGGGATAAAATATTTGAGATATATATCTGACAAAGACTTGTTTCCAGAATGTATAAGGAATTCTTACAACTTTAGCCATCAGAGAAATGGAAACTTAAAAACTACAAGCTACCACGACACACCTATTAGAATGGCTAAAATTTAAAAGATCAGCAATACCAAGTGTTGGTGAGCATGTGGATCTCCTGGAACTCACGCATTGCTAGTGAGGATTCCAAATAGTACAACTAATTGGAAAACAGGTTGGTAGTTTCTTAAAAGTTAAACATACACTTACCACACAACCCAGCAATTACACTCTTAGGTATGTTCCCACAAGCAATGAAAACATGTGTCCACACAAAGACCTGCACACAAACGTTCACAGTAATTTTATTTAAAATAGCAAAAAACTGGGAACTACCCAAGAGTCCAGATGAGTGGATAAACAAATTGTAGTATGTCCATATAAGATACTACTCAGAAATTTAAAAATCTCGAAAACCTGCAGAGTAAAAAGAGCCAGATACAACAGAGTAATGTTGTGTGATTCTGTTTATAGGAAAATCTAGAAAAGAGTAATTTATAGTGACAGAAAGCAGATCAGTAGTTGGGGACGGAATGGGGAGGGGCAAGGAACCTTCTACGATAGTGGAAATGTTCTCTATCTTGATTGTGGTGGGGCTGACACAGGAGCATATACCGTCAAAATTCAAACTGTATAATGCTCACTTAAAACAGGTATGTTTTATCGTATGTAAATTATCCTTAAGCAGATGACCGTGAAAAGAATAAGCTCAATATGTTTGGACTGCTATGGAAAGAGCACTAAGACCCATTATTAAGTGACAAGGAAGCCACAAAATAACACACAGGATGAGTTTTTTATATTAAGTATTCTTATGTGCACACTGTAAAAAAAAAAAAGGAATAACATTTATCAACCTATTACGGTAGTGTCTGAATTTTTATAAGTATTATTTTGCAAGCCCACCTCGCAAAATTGATAAAGATTCTTGACAAAAACAGGTGACTTATGAAAAAAAAAACCTATGAGACCATTCCTCACTGAACTCAGAAGGGAGCCCAGCACCTGAGGACTCCCAGGTGTGTGTGTTTCTTACCAGCACCATTTCTCAGTGACTGAACACAGACACCTGAGTCCAGGAGAACATCCTCAGCCCAGCTGCCTACAGCAGCGTTTCCAAACCCCGCCACAGAAGATGCCTCCAGGACAACACGCCAACCCCTGGGCCGAGCCACGGGGCATGTTGGGGGCCGTGTCTGAAATAAATGCCTTTCAGACAAGCAGCCTCTAGGGTGAATCCACTGCCCACAGACAGCAGGGAAGGGCTGGGACCTGCTGCTTCAGCCTCACCTGGGCACTTGTTGAAAATGCAGAATCCCAAGCCCAGCCCTGACCCACAGAGTCAGAAAGGATCTTAAGCAGACAACCAGGGCTTCTTGCTCCAAGCTGGGCTGTCTAAACCCCGCCTCGCCCACTGCCCGGAGGAGCACTTTCTGCCCACTCTGAAGCGGGCACCATGAACTCCGTGCTCCTGGGAAAGTGGCATCACGGTGCCTGACCCCAGGACGCGCCCAAGTGCATCACGCTCACCTTGGCCCAGGCCAGTTTCTCCTGGATGGCGGCATTGCTGGGCTCCACATGGCGAGCAAACTTGAGGTTGTTGATGGTGTATTCGTGGCCACAGTATACTCTCTGGGGAAAAAGCCAAGCCCGCCAGCTCTGAGGAGACTCATTAACCCACCCTCAGCCCCTCAGAGACGGGTGTGAGGGACCTGGCTGGTCCTGGGGGCAGCACCCACGAGACGTCCCTCAGGACAAGGACACGTCTTGCGTGTATGTTAAATGACAATGAAAAGTATGCTTAAAGAAAAAAACACACTTCCAGAAGCAATGCCTCTACCCTCCTGCTCCTCCCAAGATGCAGGGGAGACCCCAATGGGGAGAGCCAGCAGGGTCCTCCCACCACCGGGTGAGCGAGCGGTTGGCAGGTGGGGCACCACCTACCGTGTCTGGAGGGAGCCGGCCCAGGACCTCGAGCAGGGCTTTGTACATCTCATCCGCTGTCCCCTCGTAGAACTTCCCGCAGCCAGCCACAAACAATGTGTCGCCTACAAGACAGGACAGTGTGGAGCTGGAGGGGCTGTCAGCAGTGCATGCCCCCTCAAGGGCCGGGGCTTTGCCCTGACCCCTGTGCTGACTGGGCCACAGCCCCAGACCTGACCTCCACCCCAAAAGGGCCCAGGGATGACCCACGAGTACTGGTTTCCACCCTTCCCAAACCTTTTCCCTCAAGTTGTACTAACTGGCACCGCCAGGCCCCAAACAGCTGTTCAGACCCAAACCTTAGAGTCATCCTGGCTGCTCCCTTCACCGCCCAGTCCTATCAGTCATAGCTCTGAGAATCCCCAAAACCCAGCCCTTTCCCCCACCCATCCAGCAGCCCCCTCCCAGGCCAGACCTTCCTGTGACTTCCCTTACTCCCGACAGCCAGCACCATTCTGTAAGACCCCCATGATCTTGCCTGGACCCTCCAGGAGCCCCTCACGTAGGACCACAGCCCCCATGGGCCCTTGAGACACGGACCTGCCACCTCCCAGACTTGCCCCCTTCCTGCCGCAGCCCTACCTCCACCTGACACCCACCAGGTCTCCACGTGCTGCTTCCCTCCCCCAAGACTCTTCCCTGAGAACGGGCTTCATGCCCAGCAGACACACATGGCACATTTGTTCTCCAGGCCCCTGGAGGGGGAGCAACAATCCCCCTCCACCAGCGTTTGCCAGGCCTCTTCCCAGGGAGCTCCAGGCCAGGCCAGGCAGGAGCCAATGCCCACCCAGTGGCCATGGTGCAGCACTGTCCCCTCAGAACAAGACCACAGATGAGAGAGTTGGGTAGCCCGTGAGCAAAGCCTCAACACGCAGGACTGGGGCTATGCCCTAAAGGACCCCTCAACCTCGTGGTCTGGGCACCAATGAGAGGCCAAGGAGAGCCCAGAGGACAGGCCATGAGCAGGCACAGTAGGCTGGGGGGATCTGGTCCTCCCTCCAGGGACCAGCAGTACCTGCTGTTTACACACCGGAATTTCATGGGCCTCCTGCCACAGGGGCTGGGGAGCCCGCCTGGGCCTCCTCCGTGGGGCCATGTCCTCAACCAGCAGGACACTGAGAGACCCGGGGGCCCCCACGTCTCTCCCTGGCAGTGGGACCACCATTCACCTGCACCCCCAGCCTCTCGCTGACTGCTCTCCATCTTCACCACCAGCTAAGAGTGCCTGGAGGCATCCCTCCCCTATGCAGGCTGCCCCACCCCCAGGCTCTACAGAGCCAGCCTTGCCTCTCCTCCCTGCACACTGGGCCATGGTTCTAGCAACGACTTCAGCCTCCATTTCCCCACCGCCGCCAGACTTCAGCCTCCATTTCCCCACTGCCGCCACCTGAGCTGCTCCTGGAGCTCACTGCCATGAGTTCCCAAATCTGAGGTCCCAGATCCTGACCTCTCAAACAGACAACCCACTAGTGCCATCACAGCACCCTGCTCCAGGCCTGCCCCCCCAGACAGCCATCCCATCTTCCTCCCCTGCTCTGTGGGTGCCCAGTCCTGCCCACCACGTCCCAGGGCCACATGCACACCCTTCTCTGGGCTGTCACCTCCTCTGCTTGCATCCTTTTCCCTTTGTTCAGCTCACCCCAGAGCAGAAGGGAGTGGGGCCATGGGTCACTCACATCCGAGCTCGAGGCCTGGAGCTGCCAGTCACCTCACCTCTGGACGCTGCAGGTTCCTCAGCCATGCACACAGAGGCCAGCCTGGGCCCTGCTGGACTGCCCTGCTCCCCTGGTCCTCACTGCTGATGCCCCAGGCAGCTCAGCTTCACCACTGAGGACCCTGTGTGACTCTCACCTATTTAGTATAAAAGCTACCAATTAGAAAACGCACTCCCCTGCCGGCCACTGTCATGCAGACTAGAGAACAGCACGTGCAGGACATGGTCCAGGGCCTGCCTGGCGGTAACCAGCCCTCCACACCTTCCACAGCTGGCACTCGGCTTCTAACATGAGCGCGGTCCAAGGGGGCCACCGCCATGGGCCCGCACAACCCCAGGCCCTGCCGGGGGGGCAGACGGACACCCAGGGGCCGGGCAGCATGACAGAGACAGGAGCGCAGCTGTGAGAGTTCACCGGACCCAGCGCTGGTTCCACACTCCTCACCTCACACCCACAACCACCCAGTGGGGGAGACCCCACACCCACCACTGACGCAGGGGAAACTGTGCTTAAGAGAGGGGGTCACACCTTGCACAGGCAGCCAGCCCACCTGCCCCAAAGCGCTGTCTGCCGAGGCCCATCGGGAGGCCAGGGGCTCCCACAACATGCCCAGGGGCCCGTGGCCCACACTTAGCAGTCGGCTCAAAGCCCACACATCCTGCTACTGCAGCAAAGACCCTAAAAATGACTGTATTTTTAAAAATAAACATAATAGATTTGGAGATAATTTTGGATTTACAGACAAGCTGCAGGGACAGTCCAGAGGCCCTGTGACCCCTCATTCGGCCTGTGTGTCCCTTCATGCTAGCGTCCCCACCCCTGATCTCATGTGGCTTTCCCATCAACACCTTTTCCCCACTCTAGGAGCCCACACTGCTTCAGCTGTTGTATTTTTAAACAAACTTTCACTGCGGTTATAATATCATGATTGTTACATAACTGGGGAAGACTCAAGACTGAAAACTGCTTATACTCGCTAAACAAGCTAAGGGGGCAGAGGGGCCTGCTCTGTGCCCATCCACGGCCACTGGTTCACACCGCCCTGAACACCCACCGTCACACGGCTGCTCTGCTTCACAGGTTCCCCAACCACCATCAAGATTCTTCCATTTCCTCTCAAAAGGAGAAACACCGCCAGTTGCTGGAAAGGCCTGCTCGCCCCAATCGAGAGCCACTCACACAGCCCGATGCTGGTGGGGCTTCACCTCCACCTTCCAAGCTCTTTGGGCCACCGTGTGCGACACCCTGACCTGGGGCTGGCTTTTGCCAGACCCACTCAGCTCACAGCCCGTGGAGGGATGGGGCAGCGCCCAGCACCGATCAGGCCCCACACAAGGCGGGTCTGACTGGCTCCACTTGGGGTCTCCCTTGGCCTCTCACTTGCCTACCTGTCTGTTGCTGGACGTAGTGGGGGCTGGGACTGCACCCCCACCAGGCAGAGTCTCTCAAGGAAAGGCCTGTCCCCATGCACCTGACAACGATGACCAGGATCAGAGGGGCGCATTCAGGCCAGCCTCGCAAGGAGGTAGCACCCCCACCACATTCCCACCACAGCTGCCTGTACCCTGGACGTGTTTGAAGCCAAGTCCCACGCTCTACCCTGAGGGCTGTGGTTCTCCTCACAGAGCCCAGCACAGTCTGCCTGGCAGGAGATGCTCTGCTGCTCTGCCCAAAGGTGTGCAAAGCCGTCTCTATGCCAAGAGGGTCTTTGCAAAGAACACCAGACCCCCCAGCTCAAACATCTGAATACTCACCTGTGAACACCACGGGGCGCTCGGGACTGTTGGGTTTGCTCACAAAGTAGCAGATGTGTCCGGAAGTGTGACATGGCGTCGACAGGCACTTGACGTTGAGAGACCCCACCTTAAACAGAGCACACACTGGCCTGTGCTCCCTGCGTGTGGGGAGCCTGTCCTAAGGCTCACAGATTCTCCCAGACCCCATGCCCGCCCCACAGCAGGAGCTGCCATTAAGGGCCAGTGGGCTTCCACAACCACTGCTCCATTGAGCAAGTCATGGGTCTTGCTGGTGACCACAGGACCCAGTCCTTGAGGGTACCCCAGATGCAGAGACGCCCTGGAAGCCGGTGTTTGCTGGTATGCAAACGAAAGGGCTGATTTTGTTTTCTCCTCAAAACCAGGCCAAATCTGAACCAGGCGTCTTGCCAGAAAAGACAGTTTTCCTTCTTAGCTGCTTGGCCTTTTGTTTTGTTTCCCTTCTCTGCCTCCATCCCCCACCCCACTCTTTACTTCAAAAACGTTCAAACCTACCAAAAACTAAAATGACAATGAATCCGTGTGCCCTTTACCTGGGTCACTAAATGCTAACAGGTCCCACCTGTGTGGCACCTGCTTTGTTCACACACACATATCTTGACACACTGCCCCTAGACACTCCAGCTACATCTCCTGAGAAAAGGACATCCTCCCATATAACCTCACTATTATCAACACCCAAGAAATTTAACACTGATGTCAAATATGATCCCACATAGAGTCCGTATTTCAATGTCCCCAGCTGTCTCAAAACCATGCATACAGCTTCTCCCCTCAGCCGGTCACCATCTGCACACTGATTTGCTTGCAATGCTCTCAACACAAGGGACTAACCAGGCCCAGGCAGCCCCAAGAGCCCATCCACCCATGCACAGGCCAGGCTGTCTCCACAGCTAAGCCCTTGACTGCCCCTCTGGGTTCCTGGGGTAAGTGAGGGGACAGCCAGCAGGAGGCGGCTCTAGGGCCTGGAGCCCAGCAGGGCCACAGTTGAGCCCCTTCCATTCACTCCTCACCTGCAGTGTGGACAGGTGTGTGACCTTGTGAGTCAGGGCTCCGATCCGGTCATCACCCCCATACACCTTCAACCCAGGTTCCAACTTGACCAGCTTCTCGTTCCCGCCAGCGTGGTCCCTGGAAGTCAAAAAGGGGAGCTGGGGCTACTGCCGATATGAACAGGGTTTGCCTGATTTTACACCCTAACCAAACGGAATTTTTATTTTTCCCAGTTATGTTTCTCAGAAGAGAAATGCATCTTCCAACCCAGGATCCTCGCTTCTTGTCTGTCATTTGGCTCCACTGAAAAAGAATGTCCTCAGACACCCCATTCCCAAGAGAGGCACTTCTGTGCCCCTGCCGTCTTGCTGCAGAAGCTTCTGGAGCAGATGAACCAAATCACAAACACCTGGATAATCCCTACACCCGTGATTCCCAGACTTTGGGCACATCAGAGTCACCTGAGGATCTGTAAACAGCGCCAAGGCGTGACTCCCACACGCACATCCTGATGCAGTGGGCCTGGGGAAGCCCACAGCCCAGGAGTTTTAAAGGCCCTCAGGTGATTCTGATTCACAGACCAGATGGGACCCACTGCCCCGAGCAGATTGCAAAGCTGTCTTCTAAAACAATGCCCAGCTGCCAGAGGGGGATCTGTCCACCCAGGGACAGGCCAGCTCGGAATGACCTCCCCACGTGACTCGAATGTGCAGCCAGCATTGAGGCACCTCCTGGAAACTCATCCAGGAGTGCCCCACGCTTCCCAGGTCAAGAGAAGAGCTCCACGCCTTGGCCTTGTGGGGTAAGAAATACACTAGTGCAAGCCCTGCCAGGGTCTCGGGGCAGGGCTGGGAGTGTCCTGAGCCCAGAAGATTAGCCTTTCCAGGATGAGGCGAGGGCTTTCCAATCACCAGGGAACACCTGCTCCTCACTACACATTCACCTACGGGCCCAGAAACAGCAGGGCTCACAGATAAGAGGGGGCAGCCCTCTGCTCCCTGCCCTGCAGGGGGCTGATACACACAAGCTGGCACCAAGCACTCAGCACACTCATCACTGACCCCCGAAAATGCCACCTATAAGTGGGAGGGTGGCACAGGCCACACCCTGGAGCTCAGTTTGGGGCCTGTTTTAATTTATAAGGCATCACAATGTGGGAAAAGCTGTGGGAGAGAGACTCGCACTGTGAAAAGCTGGGGAGGTGGAGCCCCCCAGTGTAGCCCCACAGAGGCCAGAGGAGTAAGGGCGCCTCAGCACCACACGGGGCGGAGTTTCTGAGAGAAGGAGCGGCTGTGCTAAGTAGCCACTGCAGATCCTTGGGCCTAAATCAGTCAGGAAGTAACACCTGATACCCCAGAGGCTAAACAACCCCAAAGATTCTCAGCGACTTAGTTACATCAACAAGTTTCCAACACTTAGCAGACTTTGGCCAACCACATCCACGTGACACTCCCACACAGAAGATGAAAGGTGTCCTTTTACCCGAAGACACGCCCCAAGCTCCGTGAGATGCCACAGAACAGGTTCAAAGCTGTCCTAGCTGCCCTCTGGCAGTTATTTGGAAAAGAAAATTCAGAGCCAAATAAACATTTTTTCCTAGCTTTGAAGAGCCTCAAAAGTTTCAAAAACCCACAAGGGCCTTGGGCAGGCAACTCTAGTCCTAAGAGCCAAATATAAGAACTTTTTTCATCCTTTAGCTTTCAAATATCAGAAAAACCGCAACCTCTCCAAATGATTGCTTGATTTTCAAAAACACTTATGTCTAGACTAGTTTATTCCCCGACATCAAGGCCAATTTCCCACCACACAAGCACAAGAGCTTTCAAAGATGTTGCCAAAGGTCCACCCATGGCCACAGGATATACAGCATAAGCCTCTCCCCTTGGAGCCCCCAAGTCACCAGACCCCATCACCAGGCCTGAGGGACACAGGGCAGCAGCACAGAGGCTAGTGCCCAGAAGCCCCGTCAGAACCCCACTGGGGCTGACCCTTAGCTCACAGCTGTGGAGGAAAGAAGGGCTTCCAGGGCTCTGAGCCCCTAGGCTCCCACCTGTGGGGGGACCCCTGGGAGCCTGCGAGCGCCCCACCCCCCTCCACCTGGTGGATGCTCCCCCTTGGGGTGTGCGCGGCACAGCTGTAAGGCCCAAGCAACTCTGCTGGCACAGAAGTTTGGCCTCTGGAGCACTTACCAGTGGTGGTGGGTGGTGAGCACTGTAGTCAGCTTCACACCGTGCTTCCTCACCATTTCCACAACCTGCAACCAAACATGAGGCAGGACACAGGCCACAGTCACACCCCGGCACTGGCTCATCAGTCTGCAGGGTGATGCCCAGTGGAGCCTGCCAATTTGCCCCAGCTCCAGGAGAGCAGGGTGACAAGGAGGCTTTTTCTCCCTTGATCTGTTCGGCAGTTCAGTCCCACCCACAACCTCTCAAAGCCCCTCCAGCAGAGACTGCCACTCTTAGAGGCAGCACTAAGGGGCAGAAAGCCCTGAGGAGGAGGAGAAAGTGCTGAGAAGGGCTCCTCCTTCTCTTGCCCAGGGACTCTACAGACAGGAGCCCTTTTCTCTCCACTCCAAAGCCTTTGGTCGCTTCCACCCCTCTCACTGGCCCTTTGCCCCTGTAACAGAGTGGCTGGACACTAGTTTAACTGTTTTTCAAAAACCAAATGGGTTAATTTCTGTTCAGCTTTGGCCAAGTTGCAAGGGCACTGTGGTTATCAAACTCATCAGGAGATGAAGAACTGGTGCTGGGGCCTCGCCTCCCACCTTCTGGGGCTGCACCGGGTCCACAATGGCAGCCTCCTTGGTGTCATCATCAATGATCAGGTACATGTAATTGTCGGTCAGAGCAGGCAGTAACTCAACCTTCATCGTGCCCTGCTCCACGGTCAAGCTCTTCCTTAAATCCGTGTGATGGAGAAAGATTCCCAGCAGGGCTGGACCTGAAGACAAAATGTGGTTCCAGTCAGCGTCCACATGAGGCCACGCTGGGCCGAGACTTCAAAGCAAGCCCTTGGCCCAGCAGTCCAGGCATCCGGGGAAGTGACATCCCAGGGATGCAACGTGGTGAGCCTCGAAATACGAGGTTTTCTAAGTTCTTTGATAAAGAAGAGGATAGCCTCATTTAACCATATCCGTAAGGAAAACAGAGAACACGATTCATGTTCATAATTGTGGAAATCAGCTCTTTCAGACTTAGGATCCCTATTTTCTTTTTCAAAGGTTCTAAAAGGACACAAATGCCAGCCTGTCCCTGTGATTCAAACCTTTGTCAGATGTGACCACTGCCAATTCTGGGGTTGTTCACACCTGATTCAGAGAAAGACCATGAAGAATGAAAGCGCCAGGCCAGGCTCTTTTCCCTCGGCATATGGCTGCCTCTGCAAGCTAACAGAGCCTGAGTCCTGTGCAGTTACTCACAGCCCTTCTCAGGTCTCGAGCCAGAAAAGAAAACAATATCCACTTTCAAATGGCAGGAACTCGAAATTTGGATAATGCACAAAAGCCACCCGGGGCCTGAGAAATGGGACAGCTGGTCACAACTGTTCTAGATTCGAGTGTGCATGATACAGAATCACCATCCAACTGAGCCAAAGAAGGCTGCCAGGGTGGGCTGGGAGTGACCAAGGGGCAAAGCATCCTCCGCCCAAGAGACAGGTGCCAAAATGTTTTCAACAATGAAACTCCTATTCAATCTAAAAATTCCCAAAGGCCCCCAACAATACTTTAAATCTTAGTGTAAAAGGGATTAAAACTGCAAAAGGTGACAGAAGACAGCCATGAAATTCTGGAGTAGGTAGGTGCTGGGATGGGACCTCTCCAAAAAAAGGGATCCAGAGAGCAGGCAGCATCAACCAACAGACTGATAGACCACGTCCACTGGGGCCGTCTAATACAGAATTCAAGCTCATCTGCCATGGCCAGGGAACTGCCTGAATTGCAGCGTTAAGGATCACACAGAGGTAGCTAAGTCCTCCTTTTGACAACCAGCTGGGCTTTTTCCAGGCCCTTCTCCTCATGCTCGGCAAAACAAACATTTTCACATGATCAGGTTTCTGTGCTATGCCACCTCCTCTCAGCCCCGATATGTGCCATACGAGCTCCAGGAGGACTACAGAGCAGAGTCAAGGCCAAGCCTTGAGACACATTTTGTTGGGCTTCTCTTGAACTGGATCCCTCCTTCTGCATGGCATCAAAGGGCTGGCGCCCCCTCTGAACGGGGCAGCCACATTCTTGCTGATTCCCTACAGTCCCACTTCCACCACCCGCCTGACTCCTGACACGGAAACTCTTAGCTCTGATGCTCTGACGAGTTCCCTAAATGGAAAAAACCCAGCTCTTTCCTTAATAGTGGTGACACACTGCGCACTCCAGAACCTCGACTGCTCTCAGTAAGATCTGGAAGTGGCCAACGATGGCTTCCTTCTGCTTCATCTCCCTACCTAGGGCTCTGCGGTCATTTAGCTAACTGCTAGCCAGCTCCAAAGACTCAGCTTAACCCACTGCCCCTATTGCTACATCAGCCAGATAAGATATAAGGAAATAAAGGCGGTTTCAAAATCAAAGTCAAAATATTCCAACAAAGCAAGAGGTAACACAGTGAAAATGGAATCTGACAGCTGGAAGAGCAGGCCCTTGGAGGTCAGGGCGCCCATCGCCTCCTTTTTTTTTTTTTTTGCGGTACGTGGGCCTCTCACTGTTGTGGTCTCTCCTGCTGCGGAGCATAGGCTCCGGACGTGCAGGCTCAGCGGCCATGGCTCACGGGCCCAGCCGCTCCGCGGCATGTGGGATCTTCCCGGACCAGGGCAAGAACCTGCGTCCCCTGCATCTGGCAGGCGGACTCTCAACCACTGCGCCACCAGGGAAGCCCCGCCTCCCATTTTTGAGGCGGGGATAGGAGACCCAAAGAGGGCAAGGGTCCCACGGCTCACAGAACCCAGTTCTGCCCCAGGCTTTTCTTGCTGGCCACAGCTCACATGAAAAGCTGTGATTCACTTCGTGGAGAATATACACAGCATTCTGTGCCGCTTCAGGCACAGTTCCATCATCCCTGGGCGTTAGAAATAATGGGGTTTGTATGGGGCGCCGCAGTCAAGGAGGATGGGGGCGCTCGCTGGCTGCCAGGCAGACCTTAGGGAAGCAGGGTTCCTAAGACAGGGCTCCCGAGCGTCCCTGGAACACCCATTTCCTTATCTAGCACAAATCCTTCAGCAACCCCCAGCTGACAAGTTACCCCACTCTGTCTTCAGCCCTCTCAAAGTCTGACTCAACTGCTGTGTGGCCTTTTCTCGACCCCAATCGGCTTGCCTGCCGACGTCAGTTAGGGGTTAAAATCCTGTGTCAATAAAAAACAGCGTCAGCCGCGGCAGCCCCAGCGGCTCCCCGCCGCCCCCCCGGTGCGGGCCCCGCGCTGTAACGCCTCACGGATTGCGGCCGGCCTAACCGCCTTTAGCCCGGCTACGACGCCGGCCAGGACCCGCCGGCCGGACGGCTCGCCTCGCCTCGCCCCCACGAGCCGGTCACCGTGGCCCCGGCCCCTGTCAGGCCAGCGCCTTGGCATCCCGGCCAGTCCGGCCCCGCGGCGGCCCCGGCCCACCTACCCAGGCCGCAACGGGCGCAGGACGCTCTCAGCGCAGCTAGGGTCCGGCAGCCGAGCAGCCAGTGGCCCAGCACCATGACCGAGTCGGAGGGCGGGCTGCGGCGCGAGGGGTGGGCGGGCTCTTCACGCCGGCGACGGCAAACCGCGGCCAACCAGCGCCCGCCGCCCCACCCTCGACCAATCAGCGCTCGCGCCCAAACCCGTGCCCTCAGTTCGCCCCGCCCTTCGGCCAATCAGCGCTCGCGGCCACACCGGTGCCTCCTTAGCGTCCCGCTGCCGCGGATCTGAGGGCCCCCTGAGAGGCACCTGCGCAAGAACTTCAGCCTCTCTCCGGGGAGCGGGCCGCGTCCCGAGGCCGGGTCAGCCCCGAGGCAGCCACTGGACAGCCGCTCCCAAGAGGACGAGCGCCGCGACTCCTGGGCACCCGGCGGAGTCCGCGGGACGGCGTTCCGAGGTAGTTGGTCCTCTCCGGGTAGCCTTCGGCGTCCGGTGGCCTGCCGGGCAGAGTCCACGTGACTCGGGGCAACAGGCAGGAGCATGGCTGCCACCAGACCGCTGTCCCGCTTCTGGGAGTGGGGGAAGAACATCGTGTGCGTGGGCAGGAACTACGCAGACCACGTCAGGGAGATGCAGAGCGCCGCACTGAGCGAGCCGGTGCTCTTCCTGAAGCCGTCCACCGCCTACGCCCCCGAGGGCTCGCCGGTCCTCGTGCCCGCCTACACCCGCAACCTGCACCACGAGCTCGAGCTGGCCGTGGTGATGGGCAAGCGCTGCTGCGCCGTCCCAGAGGCCGCAGCCATGGGCTACGTGGCCGGCTATGCCCTGTGCCTGGACATGACCGCCAGGGACGTGCAGGACGAGTGCAAGAAAAAGGGGCTGCCCTGGACTCTGGCCAAGAGCTTCACGGCCTCCTGCCCGGTCAGCGCGTTCGTGCCCAAAGAGAAGATCCCTGACCCTCACAACCTGAAGCTCTGGCTCAAGGTCAACGGCGAACTCAGGCAGGAGGGTGAGACATCCTCCATGATTTTTTCCATCCCCTACATCATCAGCTACGTTTCAAAGATCATGACCTTGGAAGAAGGAGATGTTATCTTGACCGGGACGCCAAAGGGAGTGGGTCCCGTTAAAGAAAACGATGAGATCCAGGCTGGCATACACGGGGTCGTCAGTATGAGATTTAAGGTGGAAAAGCCGGAATATTGAGTGTATCCAAAGCACCCTAACTTCTTAACACGTTTCAGGGGGAAGGGGAACAAGATAAAAGCAAGAAAAGGTTATTTAATGTGATAATCCTTTAATGAGAAACCAATTTTTTAAAAATGATTGGATTGCTATGCCTCAACTCAAGGAAGATGGACCGTCGGAGAAAAACCTGATCTAGAAGAGCTGGGCCAGAAATGGAAATGAGAAGCAGTGCCTCCTAGGAAACAACAAGCCAAATGTTCAGAAAACTTACTTTCCTTTCCTAAAACTGGACCGGATAAGACTTAAGTGGGTCATTCTGCGACCACGTGTTCAAGACTTAAAATCTGCAAAGGAAATGGAAAAGCACGTTTCATCAGTGTTTCCCAAAGTTCCTTGATGATGAAAATCATCTGGAGGTATTTGTAAAAGTAAAAATTTCCAAATTGCTGGGCCATCCCAGGCCTAATATATTAATTAATGGAATCAATCTCTGGCACTCCAAGTGATTCTTATCATGCAAATGTGGAAAAACACTACTCCACATAGTTAATTAAAAGTTTTATTTAATAAGTGAGCAATTAATGAAAACCTCACTTGTTTACTTAGGGTGTGTATTCTGGCCCATAGATTCTGAGTTCGGGAGATAATTTTGAAACTATTGTTTCCCAAATAAATATGCTGTCTTTTGTGTGACCTAAAAGTGTACATTTTTCCCCCCAGTAGTGGTTAGGAGGGACACATCTCATTAAGGGGCTTCAGACCTTGGTCTTTGGCCTCCAGAATACTGTGCTTTATTAACAGAGTTAATCAGCACCTGTACCTCGCACCCAGCGATAAGGAAGCTTCAGGGAAGTCAAACTGCCTGGGAGTGCTGCTTTTGCTCTCACCTGCTCCCTTCTCTGACAAAAAGCTAAGTGAGATGCACAACACAGCTATCAGAGTGCCTGGCGGAGTCCTTTAGGCTTAGGCAGGCAGGAGCTCCTGCTGTTAGCCTAAACAGAAGGCACCTGCTGGCTCCTAACATTTATTGAGCACTTAGTACTACTAGGCACTGTGCCAAGAGTTTTCTGCGTATTATTTAATCCTCAACAAAGCTGGAGGGTGGTATTATTACTACCATCCCTGTTACACAGACGGAGACAGATTTAGAAGCTAGCCAGCCTGGCTGTATGGTCACTCAGCTAAGTGGCAGAGCCAAGATGTAACCCAGCCATCCCAAGACCAAATCCTGAAGTCTTTTTTTTCCGTATTTTTTTTTATTGAAGTATAGTTGATTTACAATGTTGTGCCAATCTCTGCTGCACAGCAAAGTGACTCAGTTTTACACATATAGAAAATTTTTTTTAAATATTCTTTTCCACTATGGTTTATCCCAGGAGATTGGATATAGCTCCCTGTGCTATACAGTAGGACCTTGTTTATCCATTCTAAATGTACAAAACCTGAAGTCTTGACCACAACGCAGGCTGCGTCTTTTAAGTAGATATATTAGAAAGTTCAAATATTTAGGTCTTATGCAACCTAAACTTTATGCAATTTATAATTTATTATGAGGAAGTGTCATAGTTGGATTTGTTTATAAAATGTCATACTATCTTTTATCTTTTTTGTTTTGTTTTGTTTTTTTGGCCACATCCGGGCCACAGCAGTGAAAGCCCAGAATCCTAACCACTAGGCCACTGGGGAACTCCCTTTTTTTTTTTTCTTTTTTTTTGCGGTACGCGGGCCTCTCACTGTTGTGGCCTCTCCCGCTGCGGAGCACAGGCTCCAGACGCACAGGCTCAGCGGCCATGGCTTACGGGCCCAGCAGCTCCACGGCATGTTGGATCTTCCCGGACTGGGCCACGCACCCTTGTCCCCTGCATCGGCAGGCGGACTCTCAACCACTGCACCACCAGGGAAGCCCCAGGAACTCCCTTCTTTTATCTTTTAATAACACTTCTTTTTTCAAATGCTTAAGCAATAGATGTTTATTATAGAAGACTCAGAAAATATGTATAAGCTAAAAACCAAAACACCCCAAATTTCATATGCACAGAGACAGTCCAAATTAAGCATTTGGTGTACATTCTTCCAAATCTGCAGATGTAATTGTGATCTTTTAAATAGAATTTGTTCATATCATACACTTTTCTAACCTTTTTTCACTATATATCGTGAGTATCTTTTCATGTCAGCACATTTCAGTGATTGCATATGATGAAGTCAGTCCTCCATTTTTGGTCATTGAAATATTTTCTAATTATTTGCTAGTAGTTATTTCCTTTGGCTAGGTTCCCATAGTGGAGGAGCTGAATCAAGGGTATGCTTATATTGAGAGTTTATTAGTAAAACTATCAGATATGAGGTCCAGCTGAACCAAGTCTACCAAGCTGACAGATGTGAAAGCAACCTAAAGGTACACAGCAGGAGCAGTGTTCACATATGGCCCCCTTGGGTGGACAAGCCAGCATCCAGATAATGTACGGTGCCCCTGAGGTCAATGTTCACCCAGTGGTGGCACAAGCTTTGTCACAGACAGCTGCTATCAGCATTGCAGGTATAGCACACAAACTCCTTGACTGCAGGAATCAAAAAGAGAGATACCAATTCTCATAATTCCTGATGTTGCTAAAATCGCAATAATCCTAATACCCAGAAAGTACATTTTCACCAACTTTTATTTTTGAATAAATTTAAACCTACTATAAAATTGAAAGACTAATGCAACAAACTCCATATACCCTGCACTAAATTCAACAATTGTTGACATTTGCTATGTTCATTCTCTCTCTTCCCACCCCACACCCTGTGTGTACACACACACACAAACAAACACGTTTTGGAAAACTGAAAACTGGAAGTGAGTTGCAGAAACACTCTACCCTTTCAGCATGCATCTCCTAAAAATAAGGACATTCTCCTATATAGTCACAATACCCTTATCACAACTTTTTAAAAATCCATGATATTATTAGTTCATATAGAGTATATGGCTTGACATCTGTTCTTCTGGACTTTTTTTTTTTAATTGTTCGTTAGGCATATACTGTGAATATCTTTCCAGGTCGGTGCATATTTTCATAACCACTTTTAATGACTGTGTCTTAGATCATGTACCCCAGAAGCAGAGCCTTAAGTGGGGATATTTGTTAAGGTGATTTTTAGGAGTGCTCTCAGGAAAATGAAGTGAAGAGGAAGTAGAAAGGGCAGGGAACAAACTAAGAAAGAACAGGGTCTCAGAACTGGAGATGAGTTTCAGTCCACTGACCATCCCAAGAGGATGTCATTGCCAGAATCTGCTCCCCCACCTCTACTGTAACTTCCCCAGGTAATTCTCCAACCTTTATAGAAGCTGAGGGCTAGGTGCCTACCAGAGATCTGGGTGGAGCCCAACACTCCCCTAGAACAGCAGTGCCCAACGTTTCTAGCACCAGGGACCGGTTTCATGGAAGACAAGTTTTCCACAGATGGGGGGGAAGGGGAAGAACGGTTTCCAGATGATTCAAATGCATTACATTTATTGTACACTTTATTACTATTACATTGTAATATATAATGAAATAATTATACAACTCACCATATTGCTGACAGGAGGTGGAGCTCAGGTGGTAATGCAAGCCATGGGAAGCAGCTGTAAATACAGATGAAGCTTCGCTCCCTAGCAGGCCACTCACCTCCTGCTGTGTGGCCCGGACCAGGGGTTGGGAACCCCTGCCCTAGAGGTTGCATAGGTTTCAAATGCTTTGCTACTAGAAACAATGATGCAAGGAACATCCTCCATACACATTATTTGGCACTTGTTTTTTTCCTTAGGGAAAGTCTTAGAGGTGAAATTTATTAAATAGTTTGCCAGTTACATTTTGATACTTTTAGCCAAATTGCCCAGGGGAAAGGATATACTAATTTGTACTTGACAAGAGTGTTAAAGAATACCTTTTTGCTCACACCTTAGCCAACACTGGGTATTGTGGCTATGGTCTTTTTAATTTGCGTTTCTCTGATTAATAGTGAAGCTGATATCTTTTCATGTGTTTATACAGTTATCTTTTTTTTTTTTTTTTTTTTGCAGTATGCGGGCCTCTCACTGTTGTGGCCTCTCCCGTTGCGGAGCACAGGCTCCGGACGCGCAGGCTCAGCGGCCATGGCTCACGGGCCCAGCCGCTACGCGGCATGTGGGATCTTCCCGGACTGGGACACGAACCCGTGTCCCCTGCATTGGCAGGCGGACTCTCAACCACTGCGCCACCAGGGAAGCCCAGTTATCTTTTTTTTAATAAGTTTATTTTATTTATTTTTGGTTGTGTTGGGTCTTCGTTGCAGCGCATGGGCTTTCTCTAGTTGCGATGAGCGGGGACTACTCTTTCTTGAGGTGTACAGGCTTCTCATTGCGGTGGCTTCTCTTGTTGCAGAGTACAGGCTCTAGGCACGCGGGCTTCAGTAGTTGTGGCTCTAGGGCTCTAGAGCTCAGGCTCAGTAGTTATGGTGCATGGGTTTAGTTGCTCCGCGGCATGTGGGATCTTCCCAGATCAGGGATCGAACCCGTGTCCCCTGTATTGGCAGGTGGATTCTTAACTACTGCACCACCAGGGAAGTCCCCACAGTTATCTTTTTAACAAGACTATTGGGCACATCTTTGGTGTAAATGTTGGTGTAGGATCTGATTTCAAGGAAGTTTTATATTTCCTTTCAATACAATTCATATGTTAAAACCTTCATATATTCTAAAGGGAAAGAGTAAAGTAATTGTAAATCTAATAAGATACTAGAAAAAAATTCAAATTATAAAAGCAGAATAGACATAATACAACAAATATATTGTCAAATATGAGTACCAATGATATTGCTATACCTCGACATTTACAATAACTGGTACTTATTGATCATATACTAAGTGCATGAGTCTAAGCACTTTACATATACTAACTTATTTAGTCTTAACAGTTGCCCACAGGAGTTGGTATATTATTATCCCCATTTACCAAAGGGGAAACCACAAATGTGGAGAAGCTTAGAGCTGGAGTCCATCCTGGGAGTAGCAGACGGGGTTGAGCCTGCAGCCACAGAGCCTGCCCACTCAGCCACCTCCACATCTACCTCCTCTAACTTGGCCTTCATGTCCCATTTGTAAAGTAGGCAAAATAACAGTAATTGCATAAATCAGATAATATAAATAAAGTGCTTATTACAAAATCCATCACATTAAAAAGTATTCAATAATGTAACATTGTTGCAGCAATTTAATATCTAGAAACTTATCCCAAAGAAATAAGAATGTGGGGCTTTCCTGGTGGCACAGTGGTTGAGAGTCCGCCTGCCAATGCAGGGGACACGGGTTTGTGCCCTGGTCCGGGAAGATCCCACTTGCCGCAGAGCGGCTGGGCCCATGAGCCATGGCCGCTGAGCCTGTGCGTCCGGAGGCTGTGCTCTGCAACGGGAGAGGCCACAACAGTGAGAGGCCCGCGTACCGGAAAAAAAAAAAAAAAAAAATGTGGCCAAAGATTTAGCTATAGCCATCATTTGTAATAGCAAAAAATGTGAAACATTTTAAATGTCAAATGTTATTAGATTGGTTACATTCACTATCATATACTCATATAATAAAATATGTAGCTATTGAAATTATGTAGAATATTTAATGGCATGAAAAGTTTATTATAAATTATTAAGTATAAAAGCAGGTTATAGTATAACCTGTATTTGTAAATCATATGTTTTTAATTTTTTGGTTTTATTTTATAAATTATATGCTCTAACATAGATGGAGAGATGATAAAAACTCAGGAAAGACATTTACAAAAATGTGGATGCTTGTACACAGATGTTCAAGTAGCTATGATTGGTTAATCACAATAGCCAAAAGGTGGAACAGCCCAATTGTCCACCAAGATATTAATAGATAAACAAAAGGTGGTACATTTATCCAATTCATACATACTACTCAGCCATAAAAAGGAATGAAATTCTGACACGTTATAACATGGATGAACCTTGAAAACATTATGCTCAGAAAAATAAGCTAGACACAAAAGGACAAATATTGTATGATTCCATGTATATCAGGTACCAAGAATAGGCAAACTCATAGAGACCAAGTAGATTAGAGGTTATCAGAAACTGGGGGAGGGGGAAATGGGGAGTTATTGTCTTAATGAGTACAGAATTTCAATTTGTGATGATTAAAAATTTCTGGAAATGGATAGTGGTGATGTTTACAAAAATTGTGAATGTACTTAATGCCACTCAATTGTACACTTAAAAATGGTCAAAATGGTAAATTTTATGTGATGTATATTTTACCACAATAAAAAAACAAAACAAAAACACATTTATAAGAAAAGAATATATTTCCTACCAGTTTAAAAAAATTGGAAAAAAAAAATTGGGATGGGAGATTATGGGTTTTCTTTTCTTTCCTTTTCCTTTTTTTTTTATCATTTTCTCTAATTTTTCTACAACAAACACATAAAACTTTATGATAAAAAATATTTAAAAAGCAAAAACAACTCCAGGGTTCCTCAAGATGAGTAATAGGTGGATAAATATATATTGTGTTTCTGCCACGTACAGAGTATTGAACCACAACAACAAAAACCCTCACCAAAGCAGAATTAGGAAAGGAAAACTGTATTTAAATGAACCACTAATAGAAGATTAGGAAAAATTATATAGTCACCAAACTATTTATATAAAGCAATATAAAACATGTAGATCAGAAGTCACTAGGACCAGGAAAAGCAGCTTCTGGAGAGCAGCAGAGAAATAGAGATCCTGGACAGGGAGTTGTAGATTTTGTGTTGATGGGGCAGAATGCTTCTTTCTTTCATTGATACTTCAAGTACCTGCATTCTGGCTAATCTACAGCCAAATTTTAGATACTGACCCGTTTGTAATCTTCATTCTGTGAATGTGTAAGTTAAGTAAGCTCTGTGAAGCACCTCTGATTCAGTGTGGCATGACAGCTAGCCCTGTAGATTCCAATTTCATCAGATGAAATAAGCAACTGTGATGTCCCTCTAGTGACAGGCATGGGGTCTCCTTAGTTAAATGCCAGCGGACTGAGAGGTCACCATGGTAGCAGTGAGGAAGTCATGCAGAGCCCTCTGCTGCCCACTAGGCCTTCACAGGCCTTGGTTAGGCAACACTAAGTACTGCATATGCACCTACTTTGAGAATGCTGGTATTTTGTACCTGTATTATGCAGTTGAGGCTAGTGGTGAAACATCCAGAGCAGCTGAGGGCCATGGACTATAGGAGCCCAGACAGCTGGTTCTGGCACCCAAAGTGCCAGGTGTTGGCACTTTGAGACCTGCTGCTGGAGGTCAGAGCCCCAGGAGGCCTGGCACAGCAGCGCCGGACACACTATCTGGGCCAGGCATCCTTGTCCCTGCACCACTCTCCTTCCTTCCTTCCTTCCTTCCCTGTCCACCTTCACAATTCACCCTGATTAACACACCTATCCCCTCCCCGAGGGAGAAAGGAAGGAAGCCCTTCATCAGGTACACTTGATATTTGCACAACTATGATCAAGATCTTCATTACTTCATTTATTACCACAATTTAGACACACTAAGTGTCAACTCATATCCCTCCCCCATGGCTGCATATGGTTAAAGCCAGAGAAAACATTACTGACAAGATAAGTTTATCTCCCAACACCAGCTTTATAAAAGAATTTCGTTCACTTACTTTTTCTTTTTTCACTCCTGTGGTAGGTGAAGTGTAGCCTTTGAAGTGCCAGACCCAAATTACGCTGGACAAACCTCCCACACTGTGGATCAACACTGACCGCAGTGGTGGGTCTTTGCCCTGAAGCAAGTGACCAGTGACCGGAGATGGTGTGGAGCTGAGCAGAGCACTCTGGGGCTGCTGCAAAGGCAGCTGAAGTGGAGGGGCCGTCGCCCTGTCAAAGCAGAGCAGGTCACCCACCCTTCCAAGTTCCTAAGACTCGTCACCGCTTGTGAAACTTCTGAAGCTGGTCTTCCCCGAGTTGATTCAGACTCCAAATGTCAAGCCTGAGTCAGCAAGCCTTCACAAGCATTGGGTAGCTCTGATGTGTCATCAGAGAAAGCAACCGACTAGAAAAGCTCTACAGTGATCAAAACAGTTGTACAGCATCACCCATGGACTTCTGCCGTCCCCACCCGGCACTGGGAGAACCGGTCGTCCGCGCCCATCAGCTCCAGCAAAGTAGTCTGAGCCATGGCCACGTTGTTTTTATAGGTTCTGATCTTTCTCCAGGCAAACAAGACGAAGAGGAAAGGGGCTTAAGAAAAATCATTCATATCTGTGGGAAAGATTAAACTTGTTTATTAATTCATGCAAACATTTTCCAACTTGGGAAGAGAGAGAGGGTAAAGCCAGTAGAAAAGGCCTTCTAAGAAATGAATAAGAGGGGGATTTTAGGATTTACTCTTAACTGACTCCAGGGGGAAACAGAATAACAATTTACAGAAACATTCTCACCACATTTGAACAAAATACAATTTTATCTGTAATTTTCAAACTCATTTTCCACTTTAAAGGTGGTTAAAACTTGTATTCTTTTCCAGAGTTTAAAATGACGTCTGGTTTTTAAATATTTCCTTGTCCAGACAAGTTCCTACTTGCCTCGATAGGATCTGCGAGCTTACAGGAGAGCACACTCGCTCTCAGTCCACCCCTTGCTCTATGAGATAAAAAAAACTGCAGGGAGAAAAAGAGAGTTAGTTTCTAAAATCACCTGGTATACAACGCTGAAAACCAATGACCACAAATAGAGAACAGCAATGAGTTTTCTTTACAGATATGAACAAATACTTCAGTTAAAGCTGTAAGACAATGGAAAGAGTTCCAGTCTCAGGCAGAGTTGGGAGAAAAATTATAGATCTGGCTTCTGACAGTAATTTTGTAAAAATCCACATCAATTTTTCATGACCTTTTTCTCAGGTAGGAAAGTTGGCATTTCAAATCCAACATATAGAAAAATGGGCTTAAAGTGTGTTCAAACAACCAATTGTGACAGACGTGTACCCGCAGCAGTAACGTGACCTGTTAGAGCACAACAATATCATGATGCAGTTGATTAATAATGATGTCTCACTTTTTACAATTTACAAAGCACTCTCACCAACATTTTATTTAGTATAGAGTGGAAGGACACATCAGCTAGGCACTTTAATTTCCTTCATTAATTAATGAATTGAATTAAATCTTTGACATGTATTTTATTTTGTATGAGTCAATTTAACCTTTTTGAAAATTATTCTTTAACATTAATATCAGATCTTACAAGGATCTGTGATACTAATATCACTATGTGTTTTAAAACATTGAAATGAATAACTCACTTTGAAATCCCTCCAAATGAACCACTTTAAGTAGCCATTATTTTTAATTGAAATATGATAAATATACAAAATGTCCTATATGGAAATCCTTTGTTTTTATCTTATTAGCAGAGCAATGTAAGTTCTTATTTTTTAAATTACATGTTCTGTTTTAACTGATTTATAACAATTGAAATTGTATTTGAGGCTCACAATCTTTATTACATTTTGTGATATAACCACTACCTGCTTGAAATCTTTGTTAAATCTGACAAATATCTTTTTAACATATTCTTTGGAAAGGTACAATATCCATTTACTTGAGAGCAATTTGTTGCTATATTTGAATCAAGTTTGGGAAACTATAAGTAAGTTACCATGAATTTAAATTGACCAAACTCAGAGCAACTGGTACCTCCTGTTTGGAGGGAAACCACAAAGTTGGACAAGGATCTGAGTATATGTTGATTTGGGTATAGACAGTATACAGTATTTAGGTGGATTCATGCAAATGGTGGAAGAGATGCAGTATATTACTGTAATTTTCCCCCTTTGGCCTAGTAATGAAGAGGCCTCAAACTGAGGTCCTAGAAATATTGTTGAGGCCATTGGTGACTCCATGTCTGTAATCTATTCAGATATGCTTGAGGCTGCAAGGAAAGGAAGCCACAGGAAAACAGGAAAACCTGCTTACGAGGCTGAGATGGAGCAGACCCAGTGTTCTCAAAGACTCTTTCAGGGTATCCATGAGATCAAAGCTATCTTCATAATAATATGAAAATGCTCTTTGCCTTTCTCACTCTCGTTCTTTCACCAGAGTGCACTGTAGTTTTCGAGACTACATGACATGAGATATCATTGTTCTAACTGCTAAAAGAATGTGTGCTCATGAATACATTTAAAATTTTTCTCAATGTTAAGTTCTAGTACAATGTTGACAGATATAACTCACTTAAGAGCTCAAAAATTTTTAAGAGTGTAAAAGAGGAAATATCTGAAATAATGTAGACTGTGTAGCCCTATCTCACCTGTGACCTGGGGCAAGAAGCAACATTTCTTGGTCCTATTTTCCTCATTTGCAAAACAAGGGGAGTTTGTCCCACTGCCCATTTTACACTTTTAACACTAAGGTTCTATGGCCTTCCAACACTGAAGTGTTGCTATTGCTGCGGGAGTCTGCTCTGATCAGAGTTGTAGGAGCACAGAATTTTAGAGGCTTAGAGAAGTTAATTAACTTCCCCAGGGTCACATAGGCTGAGGAATGGTGGGACTGGGAGTCAAACCCAAGTCCGTCTCACCGCAGCATTTAACTTGCTATTGAATACTGCTCACTGAAGTGAGGAGCATCGCACATGGGGGCAGGGGGGACCCAGCTTTGACTCTAAAGCCCAGTTCCTAGCCTTGGAGTTAACATTAACGCAGTTAATATTTTCTTTGTTGGTCTTTTTATTTTGTATCATTTATAACTTCTTTATACTATATGAAAAAAGCTGATTACTTCCACTGTTTCTATGGTAGCCAAATCCTTCTGCACATCTGGGAACTGGGCATTATTAAAAATAACAAATTCCTGGGTTTCCCTGGTGGCACAGTAGTTAAGAATCTGCCTGCCAGTGCAGGGGACACGGGTTCGAGCCCTGGTCTGGGAGGATCCCACATGCCACGGAGCAACTAAGCCCATGCGCCACAACTACTGAAGCCTGCGCACCTAGAGCCCGTGCTCTACAACAACAGAAGCCACTGCAATGAGAAGCCCGTGTACCGCAACAAAGAGTAGCCCCCGCTCGCTGCAACTAGAGAAAGCCTGCACGCAGCAACGAAGACCCAATGCAGCCAAAAATAAATAAAAATAAAAAAGTTTATTAAAAATATAACAAATTCCCTAATTTATTACATCATACTCCAGGATCTTCTTATTGCTTGAACATATAGAATAACATAGTACTGGGACTTCCCTGGTGGCACAGTTGTTAAGAGCCCGCACTCCCAGTGCAGGGGGCCCGGGTTCAATCCCTGGTCAGGGAACTAGATCTCACATGCATGCCACAACTAAGAGTTCACAGGCCACAACTAAGGAGCCTGCCTGCCACAACTAAAACCTGGCGCAACCAAATAAATAAATATGTTTTAAAAAAGAATAATATAGTACTATAAAATGCACTAACCTTTACATAGATTTTGCTTCTTTCCAAAAGAAACTGCCACTTTAATGCTGTTTTCTGTTCATCCGTCATTGCAAGAAACTCATTTACCTGGATAAAAAAATTAAACAAATATTTCCAAAGAATATATAGATAACTCATCTTGACAATAATGTAAAACAAATTTGCTCACTGGAAATGGAATTTATCCACAGTAATTACAGGTCAATTCTCTTGACGGAGGAGATAAGGCTAGATAGAAAGGCTCTAAACTGAATGTCTGAAGCCAGCCAGGTGGCTCGGCACAGAAAGCCCCCCTTAACAAAGTGGAAACCACTGAGGCTTAATGGTAAACTTCATGAGCGGGTTCTAACAATAAAAAACATCAAACCTAACATCAAGCACACAAGCTAATCTCTGCTGCTATGCTATGGGGCAGACTGAGGAAGAGCTCATGGCTGACCTTATACACCTGGGTAGGTGAAATACTGCCAAACCCTCCTCACAGAGGACCCTGCTCAGTGTCTCCAAGGTGTTGTTTTGCCCATTGTTATTTGACTATATAAAATGTCATGTTTATTCTCCACTGTCACCAAGGATGTCTCTTGTTATTCCTAACAGTTAATGTTAGCTAGAATTTTAATATGCAATATGTAATTATTTGTTCATTAAAACAATGTGTGTTTAAGTCAAGATTGATTTTTCCCAGACCTCTTTATTAATGAATTAATTTCTATCAAATGTTCACCAAAATAACCTATGTTTGGGGAAGCGAATTCAATTTGGAAGTATTTCTAAACATATTTTCCTTTTTATTATTTACCGTGAAGCCCAAAGTCTCCTCAGCAACACTTCCTGTGAGACTACAGGAGTGGAGGGTACCTGTGTGATCAGTAAGATCAATTAGCATATGGAAGCTGCGAAAAACTGATTTAAATTCTGAAGAATCTTTGTTGCAAGTTGTACAAGTGCTGGATGCTTCATTTACAATGTAACCACAGCCTGAACTGAAAAGAAACAAAGACAAGATAGAATGTGAAGGCCCTAAGTGACAAATCTGATCTCTAGCAGAAGAATTATCACTTAGACTTTTAGCCTAAGTCAGCACCTGGAATATTTACAGAGCAAGTAATTACAGAGTGCTCAGTGCTGAGCAGGGTACAAAACAGACCTACAAAATAACAAGGAAAAATGCACAGCAATACAACATGCTTTCTATGCAGTCAACCTCATTTTCAGTATTCCTGCTTCGGAAACTGGGACAATCCAGTCTTCTCACAGTTCTGCCTCCTACTTTCCCCCATGCTGGGGTTCTTGCCCAGGATCACTCCCCCACTGGGGCCTTCCTCACTTGCACCCCAGCCCCACACCCTCCCTTCTCTGAACAGCTGCACAACTTACACTTCAGCACGAACTTACACCCTATCACATCCTATTCCATGTTATTGCAGGTATGTTTGTTTATCTCCTGGCTCAGAGTTTGAGGGCAGGAATCCCGTCTTGTGCCTAGAAAGCCTGAGTTCCATGAATGCTCATTTGGTCCTGTACTAAGTCCTCTGTACATCCACAGAATAACCTGAGGGTTGGGGAGGTTCACACTCTAAATGCTGCTAGCACTGCTAGTGACACATTCTCCTCTCTTTAAGGGGTAATTCCATGCTCTTCTATATTTTTGAAGCAGTCATTACTTTGCCAATTTGAATAGGCAGAGACTAATTCAAATTTCTCAAGCAGAGGGAATGATCTGAAGATACTGGTTTCTTGTAAGCCACAGATCAACTTTTGAATTAAGTTTTAGATACTTTTCCTCAGATATCAATATTAAAGATGTAGGAAAAATAAGGGAGACAATAACATTTTTTTTAATTTTTGAAAAATATTTTTCAAAAAATAAACACCTGCCTTACACAACAGCCTCTACATTAGTTTTTTTCAACTTTAACACCAAATCATACAATGTTTTAAAAATCCATAGGTCAATTTCTTGATTATGGTGGTTTATCATTTCATACATGATAAAACTATATGAAATTTCACATACACACGATGCATATTAATCTGGGGAAATCTGAATAAGATCAGTGGATTTAATTAATGTCATTACTATCTATGATGTGATACTATAGTTTTGCAAAATGTTACCATTGGGGGAAACTGCACAAAGTGTACAGTTTATATATTATTTCTTACAGTGCCATGTGAATCTAGAACTATGTCAATAAAAATGTCAATTATAAATCCATAGGGAGGCTTTCACAATAACATTTTAGAATTTTCTTGCCAAGCATTTTTTGGCTAAGATTATTAAATCTACTTGGGTTTACTTTTCTATGCAAGTAGATACTAACTTTGATCTAGGAGAGGTTGGAAATCATATTCTTCATACAGTTGAAATAATTTATTAAAATGCTATTACTTGTATTGCTATAGGATGTGGTCACCAAAATAATTTGCAAATTGTCATAAAACAATAGTTTCTCATCCCAGCTAAAAGTTTCGACATTATTATATCTTTCTATTTTAGGGTTGCTGAAACACAGTAAATTAAATTTTGCTTTAAAAGGCAATTATAATTTTGAATCTAAATAGTTTGTCAAATGCATAACCACTTATGCATAATGCATAACCACTATTCAAATGCATAACCACTATTATGTCAAAGAATAGCTTAACTTTTATAGAGTTTAAAATTTATTAACAAGGGGGGCTTCCCTGGTGGCACAGTGGTTGAGAGTCCACCTGCCGATGCAGGGGACACGGGTTCGTGCCCTGGTCTGGGACGATCCCATATGCCGCGGAGCGGCTGGACCCGTGAGCCATGGCCGCTGAGCCTGCGCGTCTGGAGCTTGTGCTCCGCAACTGGAGAGGCCACAACAGTGAGAGGCCCATGTACCAAAAAAAAAAAAAAAAAATTTATTAACAATAACTGTTTTTATTTCTTACAAGAATGAACTTTCTAAAAGTAATTTGGTTGCTTACCATCTATTTCGAACTACTTTTGTAGTTTCATCATCAATGTTCAGTGTAGAAATGTAAGCATAAAGAATTCCATAGATAGGATCAGCTTTTCCTTCATTCTTCAAAGCTTTTACCTTTAATTGTTCAACTGTATAGACATCAACTATTGTATTTACTAAAAAAAAAGAAAAGTCATGGAAGTTCTAAATATATTCTAAGAACTCCAAAGGATTATATCCAAATAGAAAAGCTACAAAGCTCAAATGAGAATACGTAGTAGCTTAAGTTATGTAATAGAAAAATTATTATATATGATATATTAAAACTGATTATATAGAAGGACATAAAAGCAAAAAAGGAAAAGAATAAGAAATTAGTCTTTATTAAAATGAATAATTTCTGATCATCAGAAGATTCCATTAAAAGAATGAAAAGGCAAGCCATAGAGTGGGAGATGCTAGCAATCTATAAGGAGATAAAGGGTTCATATCCAGAATATCTAAAGGATTCTTAAAAATAAATAAGAAAAAGACAAGTCAACTCAATTTTTTAAATGGTGAAGAGACTATATTTATTTATTTATTTATTTTTGGCTGCACCACGTGGCTTAGTTCCCCAAAAGCCAAGCCGTGCAGCCGAAAAACAAAACAGAACAAAACAAAACAAAAAAAACAAAAAGAAAGAAAGGAAACATGTTAAATATCCCCCAGGAAAGCATAACAAAGTTCTTCTTTTACAAGTTAATGTGACTTGCAGCATAACTTATTTCATGCTTAATTCAATTGTTACTCTCTCGAGAGGAATTATTAGGAAGTATTTCACCTCCTAGGATGAAGTTACAAGAACGGGCCTTCAGGGAATGATTGAAGTTTTCCCTCTGCTTTCCGCCATTCTCCTGAGTGTCTAAGCATAAGCCACAGACGGCAACAAACCACATCCCTTTTTTTTTTTTGGCCACACCACGAGGCATGTGGGATCTTAGCTCCCCAACCAGAGATAGAACTCACGTCCCCTGCTTTGGAAGCATGGAGTCTTAACCACTGGCCTGCCAGGGAAGTCCCAGCATCCCTTTTAAAGTCAAGCTTCAGTCTGGGGTCTGTGAACACATGACATTTTATGCAAAATTCTATGTGTGGGTACAGCTACTTTTCTGGGGAAAGGGTCATAGCTCTCATCAGATTCGCAAAAGGTTATATAGGCCTCCAAAAGTTTTAAACTACCTTTTAAAAAGTGGAAGTATAGGGCTTCCCTGGGTGGCACAGTGGTTAAGAATCTGCCTGCCAATGCAGGGAACACGGGTTTGAGCCCTGGTCTGGGAAGATCCCACATGCTGCGGAGCAACTAAGCCCGTGAGCCACAACTACTGAGCCTGCGCGTCTGGAGCCTGTGCTCCGGAACGGGAGAGGCCTCGACAGTAAGAGGCCCGCGCACTGCGATGAAGAGTGGCCCCCGCTCTCCGCAACTGGAGAAAGGCCTCGCACAGAAACAAAGACCCAACACAGCCAAAAATAAATAAATAAAAAGTGGAAGTGTAGCAGTTACATAATAAGAATACAATATCTTTTACTAAGTAACTTTACAGGCCCAAATTCTGGCCTTTTAAAAATTCAAATAATATTTAAAGGTCACTTACAATTTGTGGATTCTTTCAAATAACTGTCAATTTCATCATCCAGAAGATTCGTTTCTTTATTTTCTCTTATAAAATTCAATAGGATGTTAGCTTCTGGTGTATCTTAATTGAAAATGCATAATAAGTAAACAGCAAACTGATTATTTTTTAAATCACTGTAAATGATCCAAAATTATTTTTACCAGTAAAAAGTGAAGACGTATAAGAATACAATCAAACACAATATTACAAAGCCACTGACAATGTGATGGGGTGCTCCATTAACACAGAGATGTACACCAGATATCATGAGTTTAAAGAGCAGCTTACAAAACATTGTCATACAATTCCCTTTCATTTTAAAAAAGATACATAAGCAAAATTATCTGGAAGAATATGTATCAAAGAAATGATTATCTCTTATGAGATGGTGAATTTATAGCTGATCTTCCTTTTTATGTATTTTTTGAATTTTATATGTATTTATTTTCTAGTCAGAAAAAAAATTTTTTAAGGTTGTTTAAAAAGCTTGCTCCAGACTTGCCTGGTGGCGCAGTGGTTAGGAATCTGCCTGCCAGTGCAGGGGACACAGGTTTGATCCCTGGTCCGGGAAGATCCCACATGCCGCGGAGCAACTAAAACCGTGTGCTACAACTACTGAGCCTGCTCTCTGGAGTCTGTGAGCCACAACTACTGAGCCCACGTGCCACAGCTACTAAAGCCCATGTGGCTAGAGCCCATGCTCCACAAGAAGAGAAGCCACCACAATGAGAAGCCTGTGCACCGCAACGAAGAGTAGCCCCCCGCTAGCCACAACTACAGAAAGCCCAATGCAGCCAAAAATAAATAAATAAATAAAAAGATTTTTAAAAAGGTTCTTATAATTAAAAAAAAAAAAGACCTTGCTCCTCGGGACTTCCCTGGTGGTCCAGTGGTTAAGAATCTGCCTTCCAATGCAGGGGATGTGGGTTTGATCCCTGGTCAGGGAACTAAGATCCCACATGCCATGGGGCAACTAAGCCCGCGCACCACAACTACTGAGCCCGAGTGCTCTAGAGCCCACGCGACACAACTGGAGAGAAGCCTGCCTGTGTGCTCTGGAGACCGCGCACCACAATTAGAGAGTCTGTGTGCCACAACTAGAGAGCTTGTGTGCTCTGGAGCTATGTGCCACAACTAGAAAGAAGCCTGCATGCTGCAACTAAAAACCCCACATGCCACAACGAAGACCCGAAGCAGCCAAATAAATAAATTAAATACTTAAAAAAAAAAAAAAAAACTTGCTCCTCAAGTTGGGACATGAGTATCCTCAGGAATAGTGAGATAATGTGCCAGAAGGCACGAATCTGATTTTGAAGAGGGGCTCTCTAACTCTGACACCCTTCAACTCCAAGCCCCAACCTCTAACACCTGCTTGTCTTCAGCCCTCCCTCACCATCTCCAACATTCTGCAAACCGTCCTGCCAATGCTTGGACCCCCTGACTCCCCTGGACAGAGTCAGGGTTTCTTCCTCCTCGTCCTGTTGTACCACAAGTCTTATCACTGTTGGTTCTTTCTCAGAACTAGACTGGAATCCCAGACAGGGGTTTTCATTTCTGTGCTTCAGTTATAGTGACTATCCTTCCATCCATCTGAGCATCCATCCACTCATGTACTTCCTTGTTCCAGAAAGTGTTAAAGTTACCTCAGTAGTTGTCAAATAAAAGGCATTCACTAAATATTTGTAAATTAATGAGCATCCTGGGACAGAAGTTGGTAGGAAGGGTGGGGTGTAGGCACTGCTGTCAAGAGCTCTAAGGACAACAGGGTCATCCCAGACTGTCTGTGGGGGGACAAATTCTTCCTTCCCCATCTGATGAACTCTCTCGGGGCAGGAAGCCTGGACATGCTGGCTAGGATGAAAGCTCAAACCATTTAGAGGTTCTTAACTTCTACGTGGCATGTGTAGCCCAGGAAATTAGAAATAAGACTGATTTAAATAAGCATATTGAAATTCACACACCGTTATACATATTCTCCTTTATATTTGTCTCCTTGAGAAATAAGGCATTTATTCTAATGATGTTAGCATTGCTCAAAACACTTTGACATTTCCCCTTTGAACCTGTTTTCAGAGCCAAACGCACAACATCCTTCAAATCTGTCTCATTAACTTAGTCTTGAGGTGTTTTTTTTTTCTTTTTTTGCGGTACGCGGGCCTCTCACCGCTGTGGCCTCTCCCGCTGCGGAGCACAGGCTCCGGACGTGCAGGCCCAGCGGCCATGGCCCACGGGCGGAGCCGCTCCGCGGCATGCGGGATCCTCCCGGACCGGGGCACGAACCCGTGTCCCCTGCATCGGCAAGCGGACCCCCAACCACTGCGCCACCAGGGAAGCCCAGTCTTGAGGTTTTGATACGATTAATACTGTCAAGCTTGATAACCTTTTCCACCAGACAAATCCAACTGGGCCCGTGAGACACAACTACTGAGCCTGCGCATCTGGAGCCTGTGCTCCGCAACAAGAGAGGCCGTGACAGTGAGAGGCTCGCGCACCGCGATGAAGAGTGGCCCCTGCTTGCCACAACTAGAGAAAACCCTCACACAGAAACGAAGACCCAACACAGCCAAAAATAAATAAATAAATAAATAAACAAATTTTTTTTTTAAAAATGAGTCTGGTTTTTCACATTTCTTTTGTAAAGATATCAAAGATATAGCTCATTGTAAGTTTTTCAAAGTCATATAAAGCAGTTTTTCACTTTTAATTCAAATGAAATCCAAGCTTCATTCTTAAACACACTGCATAAATATTAGAATACATGATGTAGTCATTTCCAAAGGGATAAAAAATTTCAGATAGCTTTTTACCTGGATTAGTTGTAATAATCGTTTTTGAGATTACAGTTGCTGTCATGCAGTTCCGAAATTTGTCAAAACTTATTCTTACATCTGAGGCAAATATTACTGTTTGGGAAAAAAGCCATTTTAAAATTATTACACAGGGGGATAAAAAAATGACAAATATTGAACGCAATCATTGAAGTATTATACCTGTTTCTCGTGGCACCCAGCTCTGTGCAAGTAGAATAGATTCATTATCCCAACTGCATGTGTTAAAAAAGAAGTGATAAAAATCAAATAAATTAGAAAAAAACTGGCAGTGACCACATTATTTACCAGAAAAAGGATGTCTTAATGGATGAGGTTAATAATCCCCCATATGGTCCAAGGCACAGTTAAGGATTTTGGCTTCTCCTGCATTTTGCAGGGCTACACTGCCTATTTCACAGAAAATTTAACACCTATGAAAATCATTCCTTTCAGCACCTTTCATCTCTAACAACTTCTGCTCCTTCAATTCCTTCTTTTCCTATCACCCAGGTCACTCCAGGCTAGTTAGAACTGAGTGACTACAAGTTTAAAAATTTTGAAGTCACTCTTTCCTGCCATTAAGGGAGGGCCCCCACCATGGATAAACTGCTCGGGGGACTTGATAGGTTGAAGTCCTGTTTCAAATTAAGTGCTTTCTTTGGTACCCAGGCATCTGGAGTCTAAACAATACCATGTTATACCCTGTGATGCTTCAGGATGTAGCCCTGCCCCACATCTGACACACTGGGAGCCCCATAGAACCCAGCCTGTGACAATGCTTGCTTTTCTACCATCTTTCCATGGCTTGGCTCCACGGTACCACCCAAGGAATCACAGAAAGTCTGGCTTGTTCTTTATCAATGAGACTTAGTAAATGACGATTTGTTACAAAACAGAGTACAATAATAAACAAGTTACAGTAGAGTCCATCTATGAAATCCCATGCCATCTAAAGATCTCATTTTAAGGTAATCATAGACTGTAATGACTCAACATACAAGAGAAAGGTTTATTTTTTAAATATCATTTCTATATCATTACTCCTCTCCTGATATGAAATCCATCATCTCCTGATGAAATTAAAATGTCTGACTTGGTGATAATAGCACAGATTTCACAGTTTGGAACAGATGTGGGAAGTTACCATATCATTGCAAAAGAAGGCTCTGTCTCATCATAGAGTTTAACTTCACACCTCTGGCCTTTTCTTTGGTCTGAAGTTGTAAAGTATTTTGGCTCTCCAACCTTAGAAATTGAAGAAAATCATTATTTTTCTTCACCTACAGTTGTAGAAGTACTTAAATATTTGTTGATGGAAATACTCAAATGTTTACCTTTTAAACAACAAATTAGAAATATCAAAATAGCTAGAATCACTAATATATATTTGATGATTTAACAGCATCTTTTATCTCTGAACCAGGTGTATTTAAGTTGTAAGTCACACACTTTGATTGAAGAGAGATACAGATATGTGTGCTTTAAGTCAAGACTGTGGGATCTTTTCACCATGTCAGAACAAATGCTCCATGAGAAGTCCCTGGGTGGCATCTATGTGGACTCAGTGAGGGTAGAAAGTACATTTTCAATATCTGTGTATCCCCATGGCTTAGCACAGGGCCTGGCACGGAGTTAATGTGATTGGATGAATTCATCTCTCTGGGCCTCAGTGTCCTCGTCTTGCTAGCCCAGGTATGGATATTGATACCCCCTTTGCTGCCTTCCTAGGGACAAGCTGGTGAGAATCGAATGAGGGATACATGGGAATGTGCTTTGATATACCGTCTGATTCAGTCCACACTGTGGTGTAAGAGGATCATGGACGTGGAGGTGAACTCAGGGGCCCTTCTGTGCCCTCAGGGAGTTCTCAATGGAACAGCAGCACCTCTGATGGTCACACAGCAATGGCCCAAGCATGGACAGTCAGCTGCCCCCTATGCCACTGTCCCCCATGCATCTATTGTCAGGGCTGAGCTCCTTAGGAAGGAGCTGAAGAAAGAGTCACAGCTGCCTGCAGAAGAGAGCATCTAGAAAGAAAGTCAAAGGAAAGGACAGCCAGAGTATGAGAGAGGCCTACCATATCACAGCATGCAAGAAAACTGTATGAAAAGGAGTTTTAAAGTGAAGAGACCTAAGTAGAGGCGAGAAGGAAGAAAACAGGTTAAATAAAAACGTAAAGATAAGGAAATGTAAGAGGGATGGAAGCAAAATGGGAGAAAAAAGGCATGAAAATAAAAGAAATAATATAATCCTATGAAAGGTGGTACCAGACTCAAGGGGTGGAGGCAGGAAGGGGGACATGGAAAAAGCTGTTGTAGGTTTTATATTCATACTGAGTTTTAGAAAATCCTTACTACATTGTGATATAATGGCATTATATGGAATTTCAGGGAAATTGAGAGATCATATCCTGCCTTTAAGTAAGATTGAACCTAAGTTGCCCAGAAATGAATTTTTCCCATTTTTCATGACTGTCATATCGGGTGTTTATTCCTCCATCCTGAATGATACTGAGTGTTCACTGTGTGGCAGGCACTGTGCTGGGCTGGGCTGGGCTGGGCTGGGGAACAACGCAGGCAGGCCTCTGTTGGCCTGTCACGGGGATAGTCGACACTCAGTCATTTAATATGGAAACGCAATTAGCAATTACTTACAACATTAACTATAAGTACCTAAATCTATTTCCCATTTTTTTGTCTTCTGATTATCATCATTCTGTATATTGAGAAATTCTTCTTGCTCCTTTATTTATGTACTTTATTTTGTGAAAATTTGCTCCCTGCCAAGTGATTCTAGTCTGTCCAATGGAGTTCAAAACTTGCTGCAATAATTGGGTAAGAGGGAGATGTGGAAGCAAAGGATGGTGAGACATTCCCCGGCACCCCATGGAGTGTCGTTCTGCCCTGGTTTTCAGCACCTGATGCTATGCATTAGCTCACAGGGCCCCTACTGCAGCACCGTGGGTTTCTCGCTCTCTCCCCCAACTCAGGACAGCTCTGAGAACACGCACTGAATTGATTCCTTGATTTATTCAACTTAGGCCCCTTCAAAGAACTTCCTGGAGATCTTAAAGTCAATGAATTTACCCTTTCTATCTGTGCCTTTTGTTTAACTCAAGTATGAAAAGCTCTCATATAGTTAGCGGATCATTTATGACTGTGTACTGCATTTAACATTCAAATACAATTTTATTTTGCTACTCATTCACAGGTAAAATGCTGCTTTCCCTTTAATGAGAAGTGTTATTTTCTAAATTCAATGGAGGATGCATCAAGATACAGAGGAAATTTTACTCCAGTTGATTATTACTTTCCAAACACAAATAAAATGATAGAACTCCCCCCACCAAATTGAACTTGGCTTTGTTGGGGTTTTAACTTACCGACCTCACAGCTGCAAGGACATTAATAATTCTCCCATCAAGACTGTGTCCGTTTGCAACAATGTCACCCAATGAATAATAATCACAAGACTCTTTAACAGGTAAGTATATCAAAGAAAGTAGCTTGGCATCCACTTCATAACTGGAACAAACTTTTACCATTGAGTGATTCTCACTGAGCAATAGTTTATAATCGCTAAATTGTAAAAACACACACCAAGAGTTAATATCAAATGATTTTCTAATAGAAAAATACTTCAAAGTTCACAGTTAAACTTTGGTTGTAACTTAAACTATATTTTAAAAATTATATTAAGAAGATTTATACTTTTCACTCTTAGAAACATTGAAAAGCTTTGTAAAATATTTTTTGTCTAAAATGTATTTTCATTAAGAAAATGTTTTAAAGACCAACTGGGTCTGAGTTTTAAGCACACTAATAGTCTGATCTTGCACAATACTGAGTTTCAGTTTCTTTCTCTGTAAAAAAAAAAAAGGGGTGTAAAAGCACTCTAAAACATTGTGTGTGTGGGGGGGGGGTGGATTTCCACCTCTATGACACTGACTGCCCTGCCTATGTGCTTCCCTTACCTCTGTGGTGCTCTGTAGGAACAGATGCACAATATTTACACAATTGAGGTGCTCTTCCCCTTCCAGCCAATCAACTTCCAAGTGTCCTCCATGGAGCATCTTTCTAGTCCTCTAATCCAGAGCCTCCCCCGCTCCCCCTCCCCCTGCTACTGCTTTAGGTGTTTCCCTCATCACTTCTCACCGAAACTACTGCTTGTCTCCTAAGCTTTGTTCCCCTACTGTCTGTCCTCAGGTAGCCAAAGTGATCTTCCTAAACCACGAATATGAATATATTTCCCATCTCCAAAGATCTTCTGGGCTAGCCATCACCAAAGCATGAAGTTGGTACAACAAGCAAAGCTGTCTGTGAAGTGTCTCTGCTTCTCTCTCGAGCTTCTCCTCCTGCTGTTCCCCTGCCTATATTCCAGCCACATCATATTCCTAGGCTATGAAACTACCACTTTAGAGAAGAACGTAGTCAAACATCAACAGTTTCATAAGGTTTAAACTACTATTAACTGTTCTGGAAAAGGCCAGGAGGTTTCATGTTTGTTCCCTCTGCCAAGGATGCTCTTCCCTCCCTCCATTCATGTGTTCATTCCATAAACACTTACTGAGAGCCTATTATGTGCCAGACCTTAGTCTAGGCACAGGGGGTACAGTGGTGAGGAAGACACACAAGACTTATGATCTCACGGAGTTTACATGCGTGAGAGGGAGACAGATAAGAACAATTAATCAAATAATCCCAGATAGTGATCAGGGTTATGATGGTACACATACACTGTGTACAGGACGAAGTCCTAGTAATGCAGACTGGAAGGGCTACTACAGACAGAGTAGGTGGGGGAAGATCTAAGGAGGTGACATTTAAGCTGACACTTCAATGAGAAGAGCAAATAAGATTGTTCTTTGCAGAGGGAAGTGAACATGCAATGCTGTTAGTGCAGAATGAGCCCAGGATGTTCATAAAGTGGAGGACTCTTCATGTGGCTGCAGAGAAATGAGACCTATAAGATGAGGTCAGAAAAATGGGTGCAGGTGCACGTGTAGTAGAGACTTTTGTGCCCACCCAGAGCTCTTTACCAGCTACTCCCTTCTCTCTCGAGATTTGCCCTCAGCCAGAAATACCTTTAAGCCTTCCCTCCTCTGCAGGAATAGGGGGTGGACTTCAACCAATAACTTGTAAATACAGGGTACAAAAGCCCAGGCCTCTTTCTTTAGGGTGGTACCACTTTGAGGTGCCACTCATGCTCCAGAGCTCCCATCTGGGTCAGGATGAGACTGGGCTCCTGCTGAACCTGCCTCTTTGCTCACCTTCCCCCCAGTGCTATCCTTACAGGCTGCTTCTAAGGGCTCTCCCTCAACAAATCATCTGCACAAAAATCCTCCTCTGGGCTCTACTTCCAGGTAACCTGAACTAAGATAGTAAGGCATGTGAAGAGAGTTATAAATTGAGATGAAAAAATGGATATATGACTTCCATGATTTACCTTTTCACTGTTCAGCTTTAATGTGACTAGAGTCAGATTTTTGTAATCTAAGAATGAGAATCAAAGCACTAAAAACAAAGCCATTTTTTATGTGATCCTATGTCAAAGTAAATTATTTCATAATCAAAGATAAATATTATGAAGCAGAATTAAACTCCTAATTTTCAAACTGAAGTATACACCTTTAATAAGCTCTCTGTTAATCTGACATACAAAAACTGATTAGTAATAATCATTCTGGCATAAACTTATTAGTAATAATCATTCTGACATAAAGTAGTAATCATTCTGACCTCTGTGCTAGATTTACCTAGGAGTTGCAGGGCTGAACTTTTCTTCTCTTTCTAATTCCTTTCTTTGGATCAGGGGATTTTCAATTATCACTAAAACAGAGGGGAAAATATGATGCTATTACAAAAAAGTAACACGATAAGTTTAAAAAATGAGTGTACATAACAATGAACATTACAATGTTATTTCTAATTTTGAGTTGGTGTTATGTATCCTTCATAATCATTTTCTTGTGGCACTGTGAGCAACAGAATCCTGGGGTATGACCAATCAATTTGATCTCAGATGACATTTCTTATATTTTGTGTTTAAATCCCAACATATGATCCACATTAATATTACTTTATTGAATAGTTACAGTGAACATTTGATTTGGTTACGACATGCCCTTCTATAAAATAAATTGATCTTCACCCAATTCACAGCTGTCCTCAAAAATAATAGTGGTAGTTAGAAAGAGCAATGCAAAATCTGGGTCCTGATTTGAGTCCCACAACTTATCAGCTTTATGACTTAACATTTTAGGGTTTTCATTTCCTATGGTCTATGTTAGAGTTTTATGTGCTCTATTTTGCTAATTCCTCACACAACCATCCCTCATTATTATCCCTTTTTCCAAATGAAGAAATTGAAGTTCACAGAGGTTAAATAACCTTCTTGAGGTATTATATCTAGAAAGTAGTAGAGTTGGAATTAGAACTGTTCTAATTCTATTTGTAATTCTAATTTAAAAATCTGTAATCTTTTCATTCTACCACACCAACATCTTATTTACTTCTATAAGCATCATCAGATTTACACCTTTAAAATCCCTTATCTCATTCATCCTCACAACAGCCATCAACATGGAACGTAGGTTAATACCGAAATGTATCTTTAGCTCTAGGTAACTAATGTTCTGGCATTCATCCAAGAAATTCATCCAAGAAATGTTTTGCTTGTAGGAGGAGTAGGGTGTGGACTTCAGCCAATAACTTGTAAATACAGGGTACAAAATCCCAGGCCTCTTTCTTTAGGGTGGTACCACTTTGAGGTGCCATTCATGCTCCAGAGCTCCCATCTGGGTCAGGATGAGACTGGGCTCCTGCTGAACCTGCCTCTTTGCTTACCTTCCCCCCAATGCTATCCTTACAGGCTGCTTCTAAGGGCCTGTAAAGTTTTTGCAAAGTTTGCAAAGTTTTCTGCCTTCATAGTTCATATGTTCAACTACCTTATTATTCAGTTAGAGAGATACTATATGTAATCCTGAAAGTTAATAATATGATTGGGTGCTGAGTAACTAGTATGGGTACTAGGCTGCTTGATACTGCAGGGTTGGAGAGGAGTAGTTTAATTGTCCGTGTTACCCTTTCCCTTCTTTTTTCTACCATGAAAGAGAACTGGTATACATGCTTTCTTGTTTCTTGTATGAGGCTAGAGCTGTCATCTATTGAGTGACTAAGTTCTACACTTTATAACAGGCACACTATCTCATTTAACATTCACAAGCATCTATAGGGTATTAATTCATAGTGGAGACCCAACAAGATTAAGAAATTTTCTCAAAGCCACAATGTAATAAAAGTTGGTACTTGGAATTGAATTCAGATCTGCCTGTTCTCAAAGTCTTGTTCTTTTCAATATACTACACTGTACCATAGAGGGCTATTGGGGTGGGTAGATGATATGAAAGATTTGGTATTTTAGGCTGAAGGTTTCTTAAAATCCATTAAAATTTCAAATATCTTTTATCAAAATCTATTTAGCATCCCTATTATAATTTTACAGGAAGATAAATGATTAGAGCCACAAGAGGGACTGATGCAAAGTGAAATAGAAATAAACCAAAGATCATAGAGTTACTTAGTAAAAATATGTGATTATCATGTTTGTATGTTTCAATTAAATGCTGAATGCCTTGTGTTATACTCTTAACACTTGACTTTTTTCTGGTAAGGTTCTTGAGAATAAGAATTGTGTCTCATTTCATTTTGAGTCCCTCAGTGTAGTTATCACAAACATATCATGGGAATAATACTGTAAGAGAAACAGTTTAAGAATCAATGCCAACTTACCACACTCCCCAACACGAAAGCTGTCAGAAAGTGATCTGATGTAATCTTCCTTGCCCCACGATGTTGCATTTACAAAATGGGTTGTTGAATCACGAATGGTGAAACTGAAAGTGTACCTTTCTGATCCAATATCTAAGGAAAAACCAACGCTTTTATTTTTCAAATGAAAATTTTTATTTTAACTTTGAACAAATATGATTATTTGATGCTAAAAACACTCAAACACATGGTGTAAAATATTATTTCAGATATAAATTATATAAGTTATGCTTTTATGAATTCAAAGCTGCCAAGGTAGATAACTCACCTCACTGTTACCCCTATGTTTCCTTTCCCCAGTTATCTGTATATTTGGAGGGAAATGACATGTAGGCTTGAACCATCCTGATATTAGCTTAGAGTCTCCATTTCTCTCTTACTGTTGTTTTAACCTAAGTCATAATTCAGATCTAAATTATTTCAAAACAAATAAACGTGTGCTGCTAAAAGATACCACTAGGGGTCAGCAAGTACTTTTTTTCCAAAATAAAATTTCTTTATTGTTTTGCTAATTTAAAAAGTAATACAGGGCTTCCCTGGTGACGCAGTGGTTGAGAGTCAGCCTGCCGATGCAGGGAACACTGGTTCGTGCCCCGATCCGGGAAGATCCCACATGCCGCAGAGCGGCTGGGCCCGTGAGCCATGGCTGCTGAGCCTGCGCCTCCGGAGCCTGTGCTCCACAACAGGAGAGGCCACAACAGTGAGAGGCCCGCGTACCGCAGAAAAAAAAAAAAAAAAAGTAATACAAAACAGCGTGGTACTGGCACAAAAACAGACACACAGATCAATGGAACAGGATAGAGCGCCCAGAAATAAACCCGCACACTTATGGTCAATTAATCTACAACAAAGGAGGCAAGAATCTACAATGGAGAAAAGACAGTCTCTTCAATAAGTGGTGCTGGGAAAACTGGACAGCTACACGTAAAAGAATGAAGTTAGAACATTCTCTAATACCATATACAAAATAAACTAAAAATGGATTAAAGACCTAAATGTAAGACCAGATACCATAAAACTCCTAGAGGAAAACATAGGCAGAACACTCTTTCACATAAATTGTGTCAATATTTTATTGGATCCATTCCTAAAACAAAGGCAATAAAAGCAAAAATAAACAAATGGAACCTAATTAAACCTAAACGCTTTTGCACAGCAAAGGAAACCATCAACAAAATGAAAAGACAAACTACTGAATGGGAGAAAATATTTGCAAATGATATAAACAATAAGGGGTTAATATCCAACATACATCAACAGCTCATACAACTCAACATCAAAAAAACTAACAACCCAATTTAAAAACTAGGTAGAAGAACTGAATAGACATACTTCCAAAGAGGAAATGCAGATGGCCAACAGGCACATGAAAAGATGTTCAATATCACTAATTATCAGGGAAATACAAATCAAAACAACAATGAGCTATCACCTCACACCTGTCAGAATGGCTATCGTCAAAAAGAACACAAATGGGCTTCCCTGGTGGCGCAGTGGTTGAGAGTCCGCCTGCCGATGCAGGGGACACGGGTTCGAGCCCCGGTCCGGGAAGATCCCACATGCCGCGGAGTGGCTTAGCCCGTGAGCCATGGCCGCTGAGCCTGCGCGTCCAGAGCCTGTGCTCCGCAACGGGAGAGGCCACAACAGTGAGAGGCCCACGTACCGCAAAAAAAAAAAAAAAAAAAGAACACAAATAACAAACGCTGGCGAGAATGTAAAAAGGGAACCTTGTACACTGTTGGTGGGAATGTAAATTGGTGCAGCCACTGTGCGAATCAGTATGGACGCATCTCAAAAAACTAAAAATAGAACTACCATATGACCCAGCGATTCCACTTCTGAGAATGTATCTGAAAAAAACAAAAACACTAATTTGAAAAGATACATGCACCCCAATGTTCATAGCAGCATTATTTACAATCGCCAAGACATGAAAGCAAACTAAGTGTCCATCACCAGATGAATAAAGAAGTTGTGAGAGATATATATATATATATATATACATATATATATATATATATATACACACACACACACATATATATATGCACAATGAAATTTTTACTCAGCTATATAAAACAATGAAATGTTACCATTTGCAGCAGCATGGATAGACTTGGAGGGCATTATGCTAAGTCAAATAAGTCAGACAAAAGACAAATACTGTATGACATCATTTATATGTGGAATCTAAAAAATACAACAAACTAGTGAATATAACAAAAAAGCAGAATCACAGATAGTGGTTACCAGTGGGGAGACGGACGGAGGGAAGGAGGGAAGGAGGGAAGGAGGGAAGGGGGGAAGGGGGGAAGGGGGGAAGGAGAGAGGGGCAATATAGGGGTAGGGGATTAAGAGGTACAAACTTCTAGGTACAAAATAAGCTACAAAGATATACTATACAACACGTGGAATACAGCAAGTATTTTATAATAACTACAATGAAATATAACCTTTAAAATTGTAAATCACTATACTGTATACCTGTAAGTTCTATAATACTATATATCAACTATACTTCAATTTTAAAAGTTTTTAAAAAGTAATACAACCTAACATACAAATGCACATTATAGATATCTATTGAACTGTGATTAGTGCTTACCTTTGGGGTGGGGGCTGGGATGGGAAAAGTTGAGGGTTAAATGAAGAATTTCTCTTTTTGACTCTATGACCTTCTGCACTGCTTGAATTTTTTATGACAATATATTGATATGTGTAATGTTTTTTAAAGTCAGTAAGCATATCTTCTCCAAAAAAGGAATACTGTACAGACAATTATAAAAAACAGTCAAACACTACAGAAATGGTACCCTACTCTCACCGTCTAATAGGTGAAAATTTTATTTCATTGCTGTAATTTAAGCAAATATATAAATATTGACCTTTTCTAATTCATATATTTCAAGTTATTCCTTTTACAGCTTAGAAAACAGAGATGCAGGATTTCTCAAACTATTCAAGTGGTAATTCTGATCTAATTAATTATGATGCAGTAAAGAGAAGACAAACGAGTATGGGTGGGAGATGACATCTTTGTTATTTACCTCAAAAATAACAACAGAATATTATAAAAAATAAAATGAAAATAAAGGTACCTATCACTACACCATAAGTCAATTAACACAGCCACAATTAATTGTCTTCTTCTGTCAAAATTACTGGCTGGCTGACTAGAGCTCGGATTCCCTCAGGCTGTTTAGAAGGACTTATACTGTACCTTTTAATAAAAAGCATTGACACTTCAAAAGCTAATAATAGTGAATTGCTACTTTTGGCATTCTATAGTTTATCTCTGCATGTAAACTACAAAAGTTTGAGAGTCAGTTGATTTTAAAAATCCAATTTTAGTCTCGGATTGTGTTTCCATAGTCCTAAAATTCTTGCACAGTTCAAGCAACTCAATAAGAACCACTAAAGCCAAACTTAACTGTATTTTCCACATGTGAAAGATGATTTTTTTCCACTGAATTGTCTGGTTCTTTGAGTAAATACATAGATACTGCTGCCATACTTCTCTCGCTCAACACTGTCAGGACATATCCCTGCTGGAAAACCTTCCTCCTTATCACTTTCTGTCTTCTATGAAGATTTACCTGTGTACTTGTATCTCTTAGGCTGATATTGATAGTTAACATGGAGTTCTTACTGTGCCTTACACACCCTTCCATGTATGAGCTCATTTAATTCTCATCCCAGCTTTATTTACCCCGATTTCACAGCTGTACATAGAATAGATCTCAGATGACTCGTGCTGAGCCCAGTCAAACTAGCTCCACGTCCATCCTTTCAGACACTTTGATAACTGAGGATGATGAGACTACATACAATGTCTCTCTCTCTTACCTTTCCACCAGGTTTTACACAGTGGAGGTGCTCAATAAGTACTCGTTGATACACATTAATGAGTTGACCAATTTAGCTATTTTAGTACTGTATACACAGCTTTTTAAATTGTGTTTTAGAGATATCAAATAAAATCATTAAGAATGATTTAAGGCCACACATGTGGCCTTAAATCAAGTACTTTACCATGCAATAGGGAACATGGCTGTTGCTCTTAGGGAGTTAAACAGGCATGAGAAATTTAATCACTTAAATATATTTTGCTGTAGTCATAAGCCACAGTTGATGAAAAATGAAGCAAAGAGTTAAACAGAACTCAGCTTTTTCTGTCTGGAAAGCCTTTGACATCTGTTTTTCCAATAACTATGCCGATTATTTTCTGAAAAACAAAAAGGTTATAGAAGACAAATATTAAACACAGATGGAGATGGTAAATTTAATTTCATGGACTTGTTATATTTTACTGGCTCTAACAAACATTTTTAACTAGGAACCATTTAAATGTATTTATTCCAGACAAACATCTAAAACAACTTCATAAATGTTCAGCTCCACAAGGAGTAGTACAAAGTAATAAGACAGTTAACTGATATTACAAATATAATCATTTAATACTTAGTATGTTTCTACTTTATTTTCAATCATTAGGTGGAGCACAGTAACTGGCCTATGCTATCAGTCCTTACTGAATTCATTCAAAGCACATGTATAATGCAATTTAATTTGCCATGGTCTTCAAAGCTTTCTTTTATATAGGGTTTTCTAACAATCCACATAAAATTGCTTAGCTTCTTAATGCAAACATGCTGGACAGTAACATAAATTAGATTGTAACAAAACTTGCATATTGCTGCTAATAAATCTAAGCTCTGAAGTCCTAGATCTTAAACCTTAAAGATATTAACATCTTTAAAAATTTTAAAGTTCTCTTCAGTGACTAACAAAGAAAAATTAAGTATTTTTTAAATGTTTTAAGAAATAAAAATAACTACCTTTTTCTGAAAGGATGAATTTATATCACTAATTCTAGCAACTGATTTTAACCTTGCAATAATCTGTTACATTTAAAATACATTCAAGGACTTCCCTGGTGGTGCAGTGGTTAAGAATCCGCCTGCCAATGCAGGGGACACAGGTTTGAGCCCTGGTCTGGAAAGTTCCCACACGCCAGGGAGCAACTAAGCCATGCACCACAACAAAGTGAGCCTGTGCTCTAGAGCCCGCGTGCCACAACTCCTGAAGCCTGCATGCCTAGAGCCCGTGCTCCGCAACAAAGAGAAGCCACCACGGTGAGAAGCCCACGCACTGCAATGAAGAGTAACCCCCACTTGCTGCAGCTAGAGAAAGCCCGCGCACAGAAGCAAAGACCCAACGCAGCCAAAATAAATCTGAAAAAAATATAAATAAAATACATTCAAGCTTTTAAGACTACCACATCCTAGCTGAGCTATTAGCTAGTCTTATTACATTTAGACATATTACTATTATTTCTTTAAATTCCATATGCATGCAGATCTCACTGAATTTTGTTGGGAAAACAACTAATGGAAATATTGAGTAAAATTTTCTAACTGAAGAGGCAATTAGCAAATAGTTTACCTTTCAAGAAAAACTGTAACATCAATAATTATTTTTAACATTAATAAAGTTTAAATTGCAAATTATTGAAGTTATATGTAAATTTATCCCATTTTAAGAAATATGATTTGCAAATTCTAAATGTAAACCGCAGACTGCTGGGGGTAGGAAAAGTAAGGCAGTATGATAATTGCTTTACAATGAATTCTTCACCTTATAAGATGATTCCACCTAGATTTCTTTTAAATAAATAACAATCTAGGCATACTTGACATGACTGATTCCCCCACAATCCCTTCCCCCAAAATGAATTTTCACATAATGATTTCAGAAATATATCTTTTGTGTACCTTTATGTCATAAAAGCAGCATAATAGCAAGTATTTCAGTATATAACTTGGGCAATTTGACTAGAGAATAGATACTGCTGAACGACAATGTTTTAATTTTATAATGCTAAATTTGAGTACTCATTAAATATTTAATTAAAATATAGTACAAGGACTTCCCTGGTGGCGCAGTGGTTAAGAATCTGCCTGCCAGTGCAGTGGACACAGGTTTGATCCCTGGTCTGGGAAGATCACACATGCCGCAGAGCAACTAAGCCCATGCACCGCAACTACTGAGCCTGCGCTCTAGAGCCTGCGAGCTACAACTTCTGAAGCCCGTGTACCTAGAGCCCGTGCTCTGCAACAACAGAAGTCACCACAATGAGAAGCCCACGCACCACAACAAAGAGTAGCCCCAGCTCACAGCAAGTAGAGAAAGCCCGTGCAGCAAAGAAGACCCAATGCAGCCAAAAATAAATAAATAAAATAAAATATAATACAAGTAAACTTTTGATAATTTTTAACAATCGCTAGTCATATCTACAATCTCCTAATCCGTAGACAAAAGAAAGACTAATTTTCATTTAGCTGGCATAAATACAAAGAAGTTTAGGAGTGTTTAATATCTAACAATAACTAATGCAGTATCTGTATACTTGTCAATTATACAAGCACGTGTTGAAACGAATCAATAATGTTGACATAATGTAATATTACCACCTAAAGTTTGAACAGAGATCAAATGAACCACTACCACCACTGAAACCTACCAGATTAGCCATATTTGGATGCAGGTCTGAAAGTGCAGTAAAGTTCTTTGATGCAATGGAGTTAGCCATTCTTTTATCTGCATATTAGAAAATATAACTTAGATGCATAAATTAAACAACTGAAATAAACCTTGAAAAATTCCAAGACTGAAAAAAGAATTTATTAGGAAAGTACTGGATATTCTACTCATTCTTTGGGAAAACTTTATGTTACAACAATGAAATGCAAGTTAGATTCAACCTGTAAAAAGCATGTTTCAAAATGTCCACTTAAAGTTTTGAATGATAGAGTTAGGTTTAAATTTTTAACTTTCACTTTTCAAAAAAATAATTTAGCAATATTTGAGCCCCCTGCAAATTTAGTTTCAGATGAGAAATGATTCAATGGGACATTTGCAGATTTAAATATTTATTACCATAAAGCCTACTTTAAAAAAACATAGCAAAACTCTATTGTAACCACCTTGAATCATGCATTTAGTTACACTGTGTAAGGGTAGTACTTTATCCTCACCTCTGGATGGTAAGTAAGCTCCATCAGGGCAGAGGTAGGATCTTACAAATTTTTTGTATGTGCATTTCAATGCTACCTTGCACGTAAAAAGCACTCAATAAATAAATGAAATGGTGGCTTGTCCCTCAATATCATCACTAGAAAAGGTTTTAGTGTAATAACAACTGTCAGCTACACCAAACTAGCAGATTTACTCCATTTCACTTCATATTACGTGGCCTCTTTAACAGTGAATGCCCTCAGCTACAGGCTGCACTTTCAGGACATGTCGCATAATACGTTTCAGGAAGACTGTGGAGTTAGTCAAATATGATTATGAATTCCAGCGCCACTAGTTTGTAGTCAAATGTTTTGAATTACTGAGCTTTAATTTCTTCATCCACAAAATATGGATAACATCTACCCTACAGGGTTGTTGTGAGAATTCAAAATAATGTACGTAAGGTGCCTAGATGTTCACAGGCTCTTGACAGATGAGAACACTGCTTTTCATTCTTATCCAATGTAGCAGCTTCTGCATTCAAGCCAGAATAAACAATGGGGAATTAAGCAGCTTTAAGGTCCTACTTATTCTTCGGCCTAGTCTATCTGGCTTACTATGCAATTTCAGTCTCTGAAATTCTTGACAAACCCTGATGGATTCATTCATTCATCCATCCACTCAACAAACATTTATTGAGAGCCTGTCAAGTGCTACACACTTGAGGTTAGAGAGGAAGAACTATTCAGTAGCCAGATTTTGTGTAAAAACACTATCCATCTACATATTGAGTTCTCCAAATTTTTACCCCTTAATATCTCTTGGTGGTTATTGACTTACAAGTAATATCACATGAACTCTTTGAAGTTCCTTCACTTTCTACTATTATTCAAAATATATGGTGATATACCTTAGTGTCTGTCTACCAAAAAAATGACAACTTGCTTCTCTACACGGACATTTTGAGAAATACAAAATTACCATGAAATAAAGAGCTCAATATGGTGATACAGAGATTATACGATTCAACAGCAACTACTGTCCCTTCTACTTTCCAAATATATTTTAAATGTCTCCTTTTCTCCATCTCCGATGCCATCTCCTCAGCCCAAGGCTCAGTCATTTCTCATCTAGAGTACTGCAATTACCTGGTTTTTATACATAGTTTATTCATTCAACATGCGTCGGTTGAGTGTCTGATATGTATCAGGCCCTGAATCAGGATGGGGGATGGCTCAGAGAGCAGCAACGAAAACAGAGGGCCAGATGTGGGACTAGTGGCCTCAAGGCCACTGACTCAGATACTTGATAAGGGTAAAAGGAAAGAAGAGGTGGTGGTGAACCTAGTCTGGTTAAGGTAACATGATGGCAATGTAACAGGTAATAGTTGTGGCGTGTCTACTATGAGGCTGACCCTATACCACAGACTAGATACACCATGACCATCTCTGACAGCCCCCCAGCCCAGGTCTCCCAAATTCCCTTCCCTGAGTTCTGTGCCCTCCTCCTACTTTTGAAGGGCAACCTCCCGCCTGGACCGGAGCCCAGTCTGACCTGGCCAATTCCTCCCAGGGCCTTCCTGGTCCCTTGCTTTAGGTTTCATGAGGGCATGGTAGGGCCCAAGCCCCTCATGCTCCTACTTGCTACAGCTTTCCTCCAGAGGACAAAGCTGCACTGCTTGGTCCTTACTCTCGTTGTGGCTCTGGAAAAAGAGAAGGGGACTCTGGACCCAGACAAGGAAGAGGCATTGCTAGCTGCTGGCTCTGAGAAGGTGTCTGACCCACAGGTCAGCTGAGGCTGTCAGTCAGACTCTCAGGGCAAACCCCACCAACTTTCTGATTTTGATACCATTGTCTCAAATTCTGAGCAGGCCAGAGTGAGCAGACCTGGGGCCTTGGTATACACAGTTTCCTCTTCCTTGAGCATCCTCTCCAATCCCACCCTCACATCTTCCCAAGACAGGATCTTCAGCATTCTTTGGATCTCAAGGAGAAGACTTTCCTACTACCCTCCTTCAAGTATCCCCCAGCTTCTATTCCCTCTCTTAGCATTCCTAATTCATAATTGTTGCTTGTGTGCTGTCTTTCTCCCTCATCACAGAGTGGGGTCTATGATGATAGGCTGTAATGTGAAATTGTTGCTATAATTAACTTTTTGGATAAATAGAATTTTAGTTAACAGCTAATTTTACATTTATATCCAGCATTTAAATTATAGAAACAAGTACAGTTTATATCCTGCTATTCTAGATAAATAGAGCTTTCAAACAGCTCAGCAATGATGGTCCTATAATTTGCTATTTTACTCTGTGCTGGGGCTACTACAGAGAAGTCCTCTTTATGCGGTTATTTCTATACATGGAAATCCCCCCAAACTTTCATCACAAACCAAAGATTTTCTAACAAACTTTGACAAAATTGGTCACCTCTCACAGAGGGGAACAGTTGCTCAATTATCTTTATAAATCCATTTCAAAAAAGTAGATTTTACTCCTCTTACTGCTTCAATGGGAACTCAGCAAGTTTTGCACTTTTTTTAAGTTTTTTTTTTTTTTTTCCCGGCCCCATCGTGTGGCTTGTGGGATTTCAGTTCCCCAACCAGGGAATGAACCAGGCCACGGCAGTGAAAGGGCCAAGTCCTAACCACTAGACCACCCACCAGCGCACTCCCTGTATTTTGAAATTCTAGAAGAACGCTTGTTAATAACCTTTCAAGGTAGTTTCAAATTTTCTAACTAAAAGCTGTTTTGAAAAAAAGAAGAAGAGAAAGAGAGAGAAAGAAAGAGGGAGGGAGGAAGGAAGGAAGGAGAGAAAAAGAAAGGAAGGAATGAATGAAGGAAGGGAGGGAGGGAGGAAGGAAGGGAGGGAGGAAAGAAAGAGGAAACATGCATGACTTGCATTCAAATACCATTTCCCAAAGTTTATCATTTCACGCCCTCCTCACACTTTTGCACCTTATAGATGATAAGTCCAGCGCTTGGCAAACAGGGATTGAAAGCGGTCCCTTTGAAACCCTGAGGTGAAATGCGACTCTTCTCCCTATTCACTCTGTTTTAAAATGTATTCTGAAGATTCCAACTCTATGACATTCCGGAAAAGGCAAAACTGTAGAGACAGCACACCACCTAAAGTTGCGGGAGGGAGGGGTGAGTCGTGGGTAGGGAGTTTCCGAGGCAGTGAAACTGCTCTGAAGGATCCTGTAACCCTGTGTGTCCTTAGGCATCTGTCAAACCCACAGAATGTCCAACACCAAGCGCGAACCCTAACGTAAGCCAGTCTCTGGGGGGAACTCATTTTTGAGTCACTGCAGGACGTGGGTATATATCTCGCATAATTACACCCCCGCGTCTGCACTCGCCGCGCTCTACGCGGACGTCCACACTCTAAGGTGTTCTGCGTGTTTCTACGTGACTGTGTCCCCGCGTGTTTGGACTAGAAGCCGAGGTCACCTGCCCGCTTCGCATCCGGGCGTGTTCTACGAACCCTAACCCGCCGGCTTCCACCGCGCGGGGAGACGGGGGTGGCCCGAGGGCCGGCCAGGACTCGGGGCCGGGGGCTCGGCGCAGGCCTCGCCTTCGTCACCACCCGCCAAGTGCGCGGGCAGCTGGGAGGGGAGGCCGCTCCCACCGCGGACGCCGCAGCCCTGAGATCCGCCCTCAGGAGCGGACGAGAGCCAGCCATCCGCCGCCCACAGCCGCGCGGGACCCGCCGCCCGCCGCCACCGGGCTTCACCTCAGGCGTCCGCGCCGGCTTCTCCCGGGAGCGCTCGCTTAGCCGCTCCTCGCACCTGGACAGCGGTCCGCCACACACAGGCCCCACCCGGCCGCTTCTCCACAGCGCGTTCGGCCCACAACCCAACAGCTCGACTACGGTCGCGCGAGGAATGCCGCGCGACCGTTAGCGCAGGCCCCGCCCCGCCTCGCGCTGGCCCCGCCCGTCCCGAGAGCCGACTCCACCCACGCCGACTCTGCCCCGACTCCGCCGACCTCAGACTTCGCCCCCGAATCCGCCCCGAATCCGCCCTCCCCGCCCCACGAGCTCCGACTCCACCCACGCCCGGGCTCTGCTCCGACCCCCCAGCTCCGACCCCACCCCCGCCCCGCCCCCGAACTCCGATTCCACACACGCCCTGACACCCCCAGAGTTCTAACTCCTATCCCGCCCCGCCCCTGCGTCCTGACTCCGCCCTCGACCCTGCCCTGTTCCCTCGGGCTGCATTGAGGGCCTCCGTCCTTCTGGAGTGCGGGTCATGAGGAGCGAGACTCCGGGAGGCTGGGCGCGAGTGGTTCCCGTTTCTTTCCTTTCCCGGGGCCCCAAGCCTGTCCTCCAGACTCGAGGACCCTCCGGGGCGGGAGTGCGGGGTGCTAAGAACCAGGCGCCCAGGAAGATGCTGGGGATCTTTTCTGCTGAAACACGGCAGAAATGCAGGAGGCGTTGCTATAGAAAGTGCAGCAGCTGAATGCACACCTACAAACAAGTGCTAGTGAAACCGGGGAAATCTGGAAAAGACTGGGTGTGTCTACTTCAGTAACCTAGTTGTGAGCTTGCAGGATGTTCTGATTGGGGAGAAGTGGATCAAGTGTAGCAGGGATCTCTATTTTTTCTTATACTGCGTGTGACTCTATCTCAAAAGAAGAGTGCATGGAAGAAAAGGGTGCATGATTGCTCATAAGGCTTTTAGAAGGGGAGTGGGTGCTGGATGCAGACCCTGTCACCTGATGGGGGAGTGTGAAGGAAGGCCAGGCTGCTAGAACAATAACGATAAATACTGATGACGCTATTTATATCATTTCAAATATATACATATAGATATACACTATAAGTATAATTTGATGTGCTAAATATTGAGCTTAGGTGAACCTGATAAAACATCGCTAGATTTTTAGTTAGTACCATTTGGAAATCTTTTTAGTCTGACTTATAAACTAATTTTTGTTAATAGAGTACTAATCAGGGGCAAATAAGTTAAGATCCAATAACAAAATCCTTTAAATTTGTCACCAACGACTGTCCACATGTAGCATTACTTAAATTATTGAGCTTCTTTCTTTAAAAGGAAAAACAACTTTGATACTTATTAAACAACCATATACGACAAAAGAAAAATACAACATCAGGGGCAAGTCTTATGTAGTTATCAAAACATAGTGTTTTTTTGTTCGTGTGTGTGTGTGTGTGTGTGGTTTTTTGTGGGGTTTTTTTGGCAGTGCTGTACGGTTTCCAGGATCTTAGTTTCCTGACCAGGGATTGAACTCAAGCCCCAGCAGTGAGAGCACCGAGTCCTAACCACTGGACAGCCAGGGAATTCCTTCCTTTGTTAGTTTTTAATTTCCTAAATAATAGTGGAAAGGAAAATGAAGTACCTGCATTCCCACCACTTAAGATTTAATAGAGGGCTTCCCTGGTGGCTCAGTGGTTGAGAGTCCGCCTGCCGATGCAGGGGACACGGGTTCGTGCCCCGGTCTGGGAAGATCCCACATGCCGCGGAGCGGCTGGGCCCGTGAGCCATGGCCGCTGAGCCTGCGCGTCCGGAGTCTGTGCTCCGCAGCGGGAGAGGCCACAACGGTGAGAGGCCCAAGTACCGCAAAAAAAAAAAAAAAAAAAAAAAAAATTTAATAGAGAAAGCTTTAAAATTTTTTCCATATTCCTTTCTAGTCTTTGTCTTCACAAGAACTTGCATTGATCTTCCCTAAAGATTTTAAGTCAATTCTAAAGAAAAAAAAAAAGGTATAGAAATAGTTTGCATGCACTTTTCATTTGAGCCTCAGTAGGGGAATAATATTTTAAATTTTTGTTTTTATTTTTTCATATTTTAGCAAATTAATTTTTGCTGAAAGCTATCTAAGATTAAGCAAGCATAGTCAGCCTCACCAGGATACAACAGGCTTTTCATAAGACATGCTGCTTCGAAACACAAGCCTGAAAGAGTGGGATTGTTTGATGTTAATAATAAAATTGGGACCCCCCCCTCCCTCGTTGAGTAAAGCATTCATTTCTTCCATTTTTTATAGCAATTCTGTGAACTTGCTTTTTTCTTCTCAATAGAATTAACTTAATACATTTTGGATGGATGTGAACAGAAGCAAGGACAGGGAATGCCTAGCCTTGCCACTTGATGTAGAAGTCGAGGGTGAGTGAACAAAGGTCAGCACTGAAAAATACTTGTGTGTCTGGCTAAAGAAATGGCGTGAGGCTACACTCGTCACCTCCCGGGAGCATGCCAGCCGTCAGACCATCAAGGAGCATGTCACAAAGGCGTGACAGGGAAAACATGTAGTAATCAACTTCACACGTACTAATTGGTGGGGAAAAAATGGACAATTCTTTTAATGAATTACAAGACCACCTTTTATTTATTCAACAACAAAATAACTTTTCTAAAGTTGGTCCAGTGATTACAATATCCCTCCCAGGAGCTGAAATGCAGGCAACTTAATTATTAGTCTCACTCTCCACTCTTCCGTCTGTAATGGGACCAGCCAACATTTAAACAGATTGTACAACAAGGACCTACTGTATAGCATGGGGAAATGTACTCAGTATTTTGTAATAACCTATAAGGGAAAAGAACCTGAAAAATATATATATGTATATATATAACTGAATCACTTTGCTGTACACCTGAAACTAACACAACATTGTAAATTAACTATACTTCAACTAAAAAAAAAAAGAAAATCAATTAACCATAAAAAAAAAACAGATGTAGATGCACTAGCATTTACAGATACTTGTGTAAATTTTTGCAAAATTTTTCTGAAGAGAAGCGAAGTAACCCGTGAATGAGGTTGGAAAAACTAAATGTGGAAATCGGGTTTAGAGGCAAAATGGAGCAATTGAAGAGCTACTGGAGCACATGAGAGGCATTTGGGTGGAGCCAGATTCAGGAAAATTTGAAGTTGCATCGGAAAAGAGAGCATTCATAAAAACACAAAGCAGTAGCAACTCCGGAGTAACCTGAGGACCACGAGCCCAGGAATGTTCCCTGCAAACTGCTGAGTCAGGATTCAGGAGCTGTGGGAAGAACAGATTACTTCTCAAGTCCGAGGGACTCAAACAACAACAACAAAAACTTGATTTGTTCCCCGAGCACAGTAACTGAGAGGGGAAACTGTAAACGTTGGCGAATGAATGGAATTAGTAAGGATCAGGGTTTAACTACAAAGTGAAACGGAAAAACCTACTAAGAGCCTGAAATACAAGCTGATCTACAGTAAATAAACTAAACTGAGTCAGGAGCAGGGTCTGGAACACAGTCACACCTCGTTTTATTATGATTTTCTCTCTCTTTTTTTTTTATACATTTATTTTATTTATTTTGGCTGGGTTGGGTCTTCGTTTGCTGCGCGAGGCCTTTCACTAGTTGTGGCGAGGGGGGGCTACTCTTCATTGCAGTGCACGGGCTTTTCATTGCGGTTGCTTGTCTTGTTGTGGAGCACAGGCTCTAGGCGCAGGGGCTTCAGTAGATGCGGCACGTGGACTCAGTAGCTGTGGCTCACGGGCTTAGTTGCTCCGTGGAATGTGAGATCTTCCCGGACCAGGGCTTGAACCCATGTAGCTTGCATTGGCAGGCAGATTCTTAACCACTGCACCACTAGGGAAGTCCCCCAATAAAGTACTTTTAAATTAAGTTATGTACATTGTTTTTTTTTAGACATAATGCTATTGCACACTTAATAGACTAAGCATAGTATAAATAGAACTTTTATATGCACTAGGAAACCAAAACACTTGTGCGACTCAGTTTTATTGCGGTGGTCTGGAATCGAGCCATGGTGCCTGTCATTTGGTGTCTGTGGTCCATGCTATGTATTGCAGTGTGTCCTTTCTGTGCCCTACATGCCTGCTGTGCACTGTACCAAAGAGAACGTGTTGAGGGAAGGAGAGCTGGAGGAGAAGGAGGTCATGAGCACACAAAACACAGGCTTCCATTTGGGGAAAAGAACCCGGCTGCCCCCAGCCCACCCCACTGGAGGGTTACTCCTGTGACAACATTAGGAAGGACCACCTCTCTGGAGGGCTGTCCTGGGCCAGTTTCACCACAGTTTATGTTAGACATATACAATTTTTTAAACCTTCTGAAATTATTGCAAACAACTTTACCAGCTACATTGCAATGAACCACATCACTGACCTCTCAGCTTCCAGCTCCATAGTGCCACCTGGCTGCAGGCATCTCTGCCTACTAGACAGACCAGGTGGAGCTAAGCTCAGGGCACCTAAAACTAAACTCAAGCTCAGGCCGGCCCTTCTTCTTCCTGTTCTGTCATAAACGTGCACTACTAACCCAAGCTCAGAGCCTGAAATGTAGCCTTGCATCTTCCACTCTACCTTCACCTAATCAGCTGTTGGGTTCTATTTTTCTTTGGAAAATCTTTCTTTCTTTCTTTTTCTTTCTTTCTTTCTTTCTTTCTTTCCTTCAACTTTTTAATTAAATTTTTATTGGAGTGTAGTTGATTTACAATGTTGTGTTAGCTTCAGTTGTACAGCAAAGTGAATCAGTTATAACATACATATACATATATCCACTCTTTTTTATTTTAGATTCTTTTCCCATATAGGCCATTACAGAGTATTGAGTAGAGTTCCCTGTTCTATATAGCAGGTTCTTATTAGTTATCTATTTTATATATAGTAATGTGTATACGTCAGTCCCAATCTCCCAATTCATCCCACCTCGCCCCCCATCACCTGGTAACCATAATTTTGTTTTCTACCTCCCTGACTCTACTTCTGTTTTGTAAATAAGTTCATTTGTACCCTTGTTTCTTTAGATTCCAGATATAAGCAATTAATTTTTTAAATTAATTTTTATTGGAGTATAGTTGGTTTACAATGTTGTGCTAGTTTCTGCTGAACAGCAAAATGAA